ATTCAGTGTTGTGTTGTCGACGGGTCCGTGGAAGCTGAAGCGCGGTGCCATGATTAGAACACAGTCATCGCTATTCCATATAAGAGATGCTTTCCAGAGATTCTGAAGGCGGTGCCGGTCAGTTTGCCATCTGGCATGTGTGGCTGGGGTTCTGCTATGATGGCTTCCAAGCATGCAACACTTCGACATAAATCATTGCCAATTCAAATAATCCTATAGCCAATAGTGAACGACGGATGATACGGTTTTTGGATAGTTGAGGTTATCACGACAGGAACTTTCTTTTGCCATAAGAATGATAATCAATTGTCAAGAAATTAGGAATATCTCCGTGCTTTAGATATCCTGTAGTCTGACGCCGAAATATGGGGCTACGGCCAGCCCATGTTCCACATCCAGCACGTGGATGGAAGTTTAAGAGCATCTGCAACACCTCAACAGTCCCCGCAAAGTTGTAGTCAGCGACTCGGAAGCTCTGGCTGGCTAACTGGCAGTGGACTATCCGTACTTCAGTTTTGGTCTGAAGTCAGATGAAAGAACATGAGAAGTTAGGTAAGCAATTGGTATGGCCGCCAGCCTTGCTTGATTGCTGCAATTTTCTCTCTGAACACAGGGTCCCGATTATCATCGCACATGCTTCTAGTTAATAGGTTATGTGAGTATTCGCGCCGCTTGCTGTTGCGCCTCGAGGATGTCCGCTGGCTTTACGCCTTTGTTCGACAGCAATCTGACGGGACTGGGTCAGAAGGGCGCGGGTGCTCACTGGCCAGTCGAAGCCCGCCCCCACAATCCCCAGAGTGCCTGGTTGATTATATAAGGTTAGTATGAGGGAATACTGGGCTTGACAACGATGCCAATGACGCATATTTTTATACCCGATAGACGATCTCTAATAGCATTCGACAAGTGAGTTATAGTGACTTAGACTACTTTACTTATGTCATACTTCACCACATTGATACTAATTCTCAGTCAAAGGAACTAAGCAATATCGCAACTCAACATGACTGCGATATCCGCTCCCCCACCTGTTCACTCAGCCCTAGATGCCATCGGCAACACACCATGCGTACGACTGCGTAGTGTTGTACCGGAAGGTAGCGCCGACGTGTATTTGAAGCTTGAGTCTCTCAACCCCACGGGCTCCTACAAAGATCGCCTGGCCAGAGCCATAGTTGAAGAGGCAGAGCGCCGAGGAGACTTGAAGCCAGGCTCGACTATAGTCGAAGCCACCGGTGGTAGCACGGGGTCTTCTCTGGCCTTTGTATGCACCTTGAAGGGGTACGGGTTCCATGCCGTCTGCTCGGATGTCTTCGCCAAAGAGAAATTGCGCACGATGGCTGCTTTCGGGGCTTTTGTCGATATCGTCCACAGTCCCACCGGAAAGATTACGCCAGATTTGTTTCCGTCTATGGTCAAGAAGGCGAAGACAATCGTCGAAGAAAACGAGGGGTACTACGCCGCAGACCAGTTCAAGAACAAGGACTGTATGGCGGGTTACAAGACTCTTGGAGACGAATTGGCCCAGCAGTTTCCGCAAGGAATTGATGCCTTCTGCGGTGCCATTGGCGGCGCTGGCATGGTGATGGGAGTTGCAAAGGTGCTCAAAGGTGTGCGTGCCGATACAAAGATTATCACGCTTGAGCCTGCATCATCGCCTGTTGTTGCCAAGGGACACGGAGGTGTCCATGGAATTGAAGGTATCAGCCCCGGATTTGTTCCCCCATTGCTTGACGACACCTTATACGACGAAGCACGAGCGTATCCGGAGGATGAGGCGCGGGCCATGTGCCGTAGACTCGCAAAGGAAGAGGGACTTTTGACGGGAACTTCAACAGGACTTAATGTTGTTGGAGCTCTATCCTTGGCTAAGGAACTTGGCCCTGGCAAAGTAGTTGTCACGGTGGCTTGTGATACGGGTCTTAAGTACACGAGCGGCACTCTGTATGAATAGTTCCACTGCAGAGTTGAAAGACGCAACTCAATGAGATGGAAAGTCAACTCTACAGTATCCTTGCTTGAGGCATTCTGGTTGGTGTTCAAAGTGCATGTTATGTTGTCCATTAGTTTGAACGGCATTATCAATCAGCTGGCCATTGCAATGTCTAATTCCTTAAAGGAAACGGCTCTAAGCGCATTGTTGAAATTGAAATATCATGTGTTGTTGAGATTACAAGTCCTCAATCTTTCATGATATTCCCCACGCGCACGTCATGGGTTGACTCATCATCTTTCAGCTTTGCATGTGATCGACAGTCAACCCATACCTGAGAACATACTTAGAAGTGTGCTCTGTTCATTGGAAGATCATCGGGCTTGCTTTCCCCCGCCCAAAAATGCCAGCTCGACCGACGTGCTTTTGAAGTAAAAACGTTCAAGGTGGAAGGTAGGAGGAGGCTCCTATTTTAAATGCAACCATTGCTCAGATCCCAAGCTCAATCCTGGCCTCAGAACTGTCACAAGAAACACCTCAATGGTCACTCGTTGATGAGCAGATTTCTAAGATTGGCGCGAAACCCCCGCTTTTAGCGTGCCGTAGCTTGATCCCTGAATGCCAATAATGCCCGCAATGTTTCGATGGGTCTTGGTTCGTCACTGCGGGAGTCGTTCCCACAACCATCTTGAAGCCAGCAAATGTATTCAACGGTCAGCTTGTGGGAACAGCATCACTGCCTTCTAATGACCATTGTAGGTTGAGCTTACGGCTCAGTGAACGTTGCAGAAGATGGAGATTCTCCAGAAGCTTTCAAGCTTGCAGTGGGAGTACAATATTTTGCCAAGGGGCTCGGGAATATACTCGCGCGTTCCGCGGAGAGTTTTGTTGGGGATGCTGAGAAGCAGACTGGAGGTCAACGCTTCGCGCGTAACGCTCCACTCGCTGTAGCTACACCCGGCGGGGGATAACGCGCCCTATCGTATCGTTTCTTTTCGAGATGACCTCTTCCCTGTGCCCCCTTCGCTCCCCTAAGTCCCCTCTCAACCTCTCCACCCAGGCTTTCCACCAATCCAAGAATCCTGGGGTCGCATCCGGTTAGCCGAGAGCTGCGGGAAGCTTTGCCAATGCAGCAGTGTTAACCCACCGGCTCTTGGCCCTGAAGTTGACTCAGATATGCGCACATAGGCGTGTCTAACCGCCGGTTATGGCTTATGGCGCTGCTGAAGCAGCTTCAGGCCGGACCGTGTTGGACAGGGGAGCTATTATTGCTCGACCGATTCCCGAGGTGGTGAGGCGGGAACCCTGAAGCTTCAAAACCCCTCACCCCTCATTCTTTCGTGTGCTGAAGCTGTCTGACAGCTTGCCTTGCCGTTATTCAAGATCTGTTGTTCGTTCAACCTAGGGACTGACGAATACCTGCTGTCCGCTGGCAACTGGATTCTAAGCTTACATTCGAGGCATTGAGAAAGTCAATTGGTGACTCCAGCCTGCAGACTAACATCCCTTGCCGAGCGCCAAAATCCGCCTTCATCACCAAGGTACCTTCGGACCAGACATCTCAAATCAACAAATATGAAAGCCAACGCAATGGCTGTTGCCAGGACCGCTGCCTTGCGAGGCCTTGGACGAACGTCTCTCTCTTCACAATTCACCCATAAGCAGCTCCCGGTTGTATCCCGAGCATGCATGTCCTCCGTCGCGGAAGCTGTCGGCGTGGCACCCGCTCCCCCGCCTCCTACACCGGTCAACGATGCCGAGCTGAAGGCAGCACAGCGTGCCATTGAGGCCAAGAAGATTCTGCAAAAGGCCGCCAGCGCAACCACTGTTAGACATGACTGGACAAGAGAGGAGATCTCTGCCATCTACTACCAACCCCTGATGGAGTTGGCTTTCCAAGCTGTACGTTTCTCGAGACCATCATCGTCATCTCGTGAATTGCTAACGAAATATCATTCACCAGGGCTCCATCCACCGCCGCTTCCACAACCCTTCCGAAGTCCAGCTCTGCACGCTCATGAACATCAAGACCGGCGGCTGCACCGAGGACTGCTCCTACTGCGCCCAGTCAACCCGATACCAAGATGGCACCGGCCTCAAGGCTAAGAAGGTCGAGAGCGTCGAGTCTGTCCTCGCCGCGGCCCGTACTGCAAAAGAGAACGGTAGCACGCGCTTTTGCATGGGCGCCGCATGGCGCGATATGCGCGGCCGCAAGAACAGCTTAAAGAACATCAAGGCCATGGTCACGGGCGTGCGGGCAATGGATATGGAGGTCTGCGTCACCCTCGGCATGATTGACTCGGAACAGGCCAAGGAGCTCAAGGAGGCCGGGCTGACTGCCTACAACCACAACGTCGACACCAGCCGCGAGTTCTACCCGTCCGTCATCTCGACTCGCAGCTACGACGAGCGCCTCAAGACCCTGAGCCACGTCCGCGACGCCGGTATCAATGTGTGTTCGGGTGGCATTCTCGGACTCGGAGAGTCATCCGACGACCGCGTTGGTCTGCTGCACACCGTCTCCACGCTCCCTTCCCACCCCGAGAGTTTCCCCGTCAACGCTCTTGTGCCGATCAAGGGTACGCCGCTGGGTGACCGCACGCCCATCCAGTTCTCGAGCATGCTGCGGACCATTGCGACCGCCCGCCTTCTTATGCCGGCGACCATTATCCGTATTGCTGCCGGAAGGAAGACCATGTCGGAGGAGAAGCAGGCCATGTGCTTCATGGCTGGAGCCAACGCCATCTTCACAGGTGAAAAGATGTTGACAACGGACTGCAACAGCTGGGACGAGGATAATGCCATGTTTGGCCGCTGGGGTCTGACACCGATGAAGAGCCACCACAAGTCGCCGGCTCCAATGGCCGAGATTGAGATCTGAAGATAAATGCAACAAGAATAAAGATTTTACACCATCATGGACTTGATGTGGGGGATTTTGAAACCCGTTCCTCAGAACTCAAGGACCTTTGACGAGATGTCCATACTCTCTAGCTAATTGCTCCATGACTCATTACCCCCTTTCCGTCGTTCGACTCAAAAGCTTCCGTATGCGCGTTCTTCCCACCTAGAACTCGGTCTTGAAGAGTTTCATTTGCCTGATGACCTGACCGTATCTGTAGAATACTAAAGGGATTGGAATCATGACGAAAGCAATGAAGCCGAGGAGTGAGTTTCCCCATCCGAGCCCAAGGCTCTGATACAACCGGTCACCAGCCAGGGGCAAGAATGCGCCCAACAATGACCTGGTGACTGTGCTGGCTGCCATGGCTGATGCAGCGTATGTCGTAAATGCGTCAACCAGATAAGTCGAGATCGACATCTTCAAGATACACACGTCAGTACCGATGACACAGTTGCATAGGTAGGTGCGGACTCTTACCAGGACTATAACAATCCCGCATCCTAGGATGGCTGTTCCTATGATAGGTAGCATCCATTGAAGCTGTTTATCTGCAGTCCAACCATACCAAAACAGTCCTATGGGGACTAGGATAGCACCCATAAGCATGGGCGGCAGTCGATATTCCGGCTGAAACTGCCCGCCATTTGTGAGTGACAACTTCAGCACAAGCCTGTCTGACACTAGACCAGAAAATAGAAGTCCGATCACTGAGCCTACACCGATGCCGATGTACGCCAACCCCGCTGACCCTTGAGAGAATCCGTACTGCTGCTTGAAAACCTGGGGGAAGGTTGTGAAAAGCAGGTAGAGGTAGCCGTAGAGGATGGCCATATAAACTGAAAGGCAGAAGACAATGGGCGAGAGAAACATCATCTTCGCCGGTCGAAGAATGGAGAACATGAAGAGGTCTTTTGGCTTACGGTGGGTTGCTAGAACAGATTCGAGGTGTGGGTTTCTGGTCTGCAGGCGAAGTCGTCGTGCCTTTCGTTCCAGAAGGGTCAGGGCGTATGATTCGGGCATGCAGAATGCTGTGCCGAGGGCAGCTACTCCAGCCTTCAAAGTCATGTTAGCTGCGATTAAAGAACACAAAGCGGCTATGCCCAAAGTATCAACTCACAGCAACGGACACCACTCGAAAAGACCATCGCCAGCCTATCGTTTCTGATAAATAGCCTCCTGCAATGGGCCCAATGGTTGGGCCCACCATCGGCCCAAGAGTCCAGACCATCATGGCAAGTCCTCTCTTTTCTCTCGGAACTGTGTCTGCCAGCGACGCAGCCCCAAGAGTCAACGGGGTAGATCCGCCTATGCCAGCAAAGATGCGAAACGCAATCATGCTACCCGAGTTGGGTGCCACGGAGCATGCAACGTTGAAAATGAGAAATAGGAGACTACCAGCGTTGTATAGAACATAACGACCGTACATCTCTGAAAGCGGTGCGATGAATAGCGGGCCACAGCAGTAGCCGATCAGAAATCCTGATATCATGAACGCCCCAACGTATGTGTCTGTGACATTGAAATCTGACTTGATGGAAGCAATTCCCGGTGCCGCGATCGATGATGCTAGGGGGCTGCAATAACAATTTGTATCAGTATTGATGCAGTCTTGTTGTGTGATTCTGCTTTCTTAGGTTGAAAAATGAGCCATACCTGAGTGTTGAGATGTACCCAAGCGTCGTGATGAATAGAGCCTTCTTGCACTTTGACCAGTTCATCGGATTTTCTGGATCGTCTGGTTCATCCCAGTCAACCAAGTAAGAATTCACCATTGCAGTATCGCTGTCGTCTATGGCGTCACTGTGAACCATGATGGTGCCCTGTCCGGGCGGAATCATCTGTTCGCCCATAGTTGCTTTCTTAGACTCATGTGTATCAGACTCACGAACGAATGGGGGAACCTATCCGATTTTCGGAAGAATCGAGATACGACCTGATCTCCCTAGCTGACTTAACATAACGTTACGAATTTGGCTGACGGCGTTCTCGGCTCGTCCTTGAGGCCTGGTTGTGCCGAAGCACATCGTCGGAGTCTCGGACCTTTTAAAGATTTCCGGACTGACGCCGGCTCTGGAGTGAAGAGCTCGGTTGTGGTGATGTCCGTTCGCCGAATCCCACCCGTTAAGCATATTCGCTTCTTTGATTGCGGGGATAATTCAAATGCCGTATTCCCCATACTGGGACTCCAATCGGATGATGGATGTTGGAAACTGATGACTAGTTGTCCGTGCCGTTGCCGCTGTGGATACTAGCGGAACGTTATACCAAGTATAAAATGACTGTCTTGAAAGTCGAGCAGAAGATGCTGGCCATCTTTGATATCAGACACATTATTGTTCATTATCCAAACCTAAATCACCTTATCCCAACTTCAAAGGTGTCACCATGTCGATCAAGCTTGAGAAGGTCCCTCCCCACCGTTTGTCGCAGCTATGCGATCCTACATCTTTGAAACTTAAGAAGCTGCTGAATCGAAATCACAATGAGCACGCCATTCTTCGCGACCCTCGACTAATCCTACACAACCATATGCCGCATGTGAGTATTCCTCGTGCGTGATGCTCGGCCACTATTCACTCATGTCTCGGTACTTAATCATTGGGACGAAGGCTGATACAACCACGTCACATATGACAGGCTCTTGGATCGTCTTATCTTCTAGGCGCGACAGACTCCCAGTTACAGCATATTTTCGACGTCGAATCCCCTCATCTAGTCGAATCTGACGACAAACGAATCACGCATGAAGAGGTCACCACATTCAACTGGAGGAAGTTTCTTGGGCAGAAGCCATACACTGCGGCCTATGCCATATTCTTTGACGGTGAAGTTGCGAAATACGGCGGCGACTGGAAAAAGGTTGTAGAAGACTATGTCTGGGCTGGACCTGAACCGATTATCAACGGATTCTCTGGAGGGCGTAAGTCTTCCGTTCTCTAGGCTGTGTCTCATCACGCCCGGCGATACATCTGGTTTTAACTAACTTTTCATCATCGCAGTCGGTCACCCTTTCATTCATCTTGCATACGCATACGAGTTTGATGACGAAAAGGTCGCCACGGAAGCCTTGAGTATGGGTTGCACGGAGTACGATCCGACTCACGAGGTTCTGGATAACCCTCCACCAGACACGTCAACTTACAAGACCAAAAGCATCAAGGAAGTTCTGGGTCGTATCCGTGCCGACAAGAGATTCGATGGCTACGTCGATTCCCCGGGGTTCGTGAATCTCTTCACACTCCTCGGCAGATTCAGATCTGAAATTTTCGAACACTGGCACGCGTGGGTCGTCGAGGATCCAGACTCACAGCTCGGGGACTGCGCCAAGATGGCAGCGGGGCTGTTCATGGAAACGCGCAATAATGAGGAGGGCATGTTCGATTTCTTCGTGGCCCACATTTTGACTTTTGCACATGCTTTACGCATTCTTCTGCCGCTCTGGTCGCATGAGCAGAAGGTTTCGGTGATGAGACAATACGGCCTCTATACGATGATGGTGTACATCGCACAGCTTCGACCGGGCCTCGACTGGGATGAAGAAGGGTTGCCAAAGGGTGGCGAGACACCTGCGTGGGACACAATTTTCAAGAACTCATTGAACAGCAAGTGGATGACTGACGTGCACTTCCCGAAGGTCGTCAGAGGTATGAAGGTGGTTGAAGAGACTTGGGGGGCTTCAGGCGGACTGTATCAACGAGCAGCCGACGTGTTTGTGAATGAGTTTAACGGATGGGGAGGATATGGGGTCGGTGTCGAGGCTGCCTTTGGGCTTACTGGTGTTGCTTAGCTGCTTTTTCCCAGGCTCTGCGTCCTTTGGTCGGCAGTTGAGCAAGCAAGTCGTAGCAAGTGGTCAAATAACCTCAGCCAACTGACGGCCTGGCAACAAACACTCCTGTTTCTCCTACTGCTCTTGGGCAGTACTATTTGGGTCTCCATCTGGACGGTCTTGGCCCGCAAACATGTATTTGAGAAGCGCTTCGATGAAATAGTCCGAGCAGAGCGCGCGCGTAAACTCAGTCGCCAGGGCAGTACCATATCGCTAGGTTTGCCGCGACTACCTCTCGACTTGCCCAGGCTGCAGATGGCATTCTCCTTTGGTAAATCGCAGTCAGCACCGCCACCTCCAGGCCAGTCTCTCAGAGCTACAAAGACTGCCGAGTCGGAGAAGGGCGAAACTCGGGCAGACGACAAACGAGCGGACGATGCAGGAGCCTCGCCCAAAGACCGCCGCCGGCCTACACTCGAGGATGCACCTGGGGATGTGCCCGGAAGCACCCAGGAGGTGACGGACTCGCAGGCACCGGGCCACATTACCTTTGACGATGCACCGCACCCCAATGTCGCCGACAACCAAGCCACCTCGACGGGAGTCTCTCTTCTTGGCAACCCGAATGGACCGGCGCGTCCACTGAGAAGGCCCTACAATGCTTCAGTAGATCTGACTACTGCCGACGCGGACGCTCGCAACTTCTTGAAACATCGTGCAGCTAGTCGCCAGGGTCAGTTCCATGACCTAAGCAGCGATGAACGCGATCATCTCGGCGGCTGCGAATACCGTGCCCTCAAGGTCCTAGCCATGTTGGTGCCAACCTATTACTTCCTGTGGCAGGTTCTGGCATCCCTTGCCCTTGGAGCCTGGATGAACAACTACATGCCCGATACGGCAAGGGCTAACGGTATCAATCCGTGGTGGCTCAGTATCTTCAACGCCGTTTCTGCCTTCAATAATTCGGGCATGTCGCTCCTGGACGCCAACATGATTCCTTTCCAACAGGCGCCGTACGTTCTCATCACAATGGGTCTCCTGATCCTGGCAGGCAATACCGCGTACCCTCTCTTCCTTCGTCTCATCATCTGGTCCTCTCTCCGCATCCTGAACCTGACCACGCGAGAAGACGCTTTCATCGACCTAAAAGCTACTCTAGCGTTTATTTTGAAATACCCTCGCCGAGTTTACACCAATCTCTTCCCTTCTCGACCCTCTTGGTGGCTTTTATTTATGTTGATTTCACTCAACTCTGTGGACTGGGTGGCCTTTGAGGTTCTCAACATTGGGAATTCTGTCATCGAGAAGATACCCACAGGCTACCGGGTGCTCAATGGTCTCTTTCAAGCACTTGGTAAGTCTTCAAATCGTTCTTCCTTTGGATCATCACCATATCAAAGCAGGAGGAGGCTAACATACCGGCTAGCTGTGCGGTCCGGAGGTTTCTACGTCGTCCCTATCTCAGGCCTCTTCATCAGCTTACAGATACTCTACGTTATAATGATGTACATCTCGGTCTACCCCGTCGTCATCACCATGCGCCATTCCAACATTTACGAGGAGCGATCACTCGGCATATACAGCGACGACATAGACACCGCATCCGAGATCGACCCTGAGGTGGCCGATCCCTTGCTCCCTATAGGCAGTCGACCTCCGACACTGGCACGCACTACTAGCATTGGCGCGGCTTCTGCCCGACCTTCTTTCTTGGCACGTCGACTGAGCCGTTCGGGCCCGGTCATCGAAGCTCGTCGCGCGTTCAAGAGCACCTTCATGAGCTTTCACGGTGTTGGTGTTGTGCCACCGAAAGGACCGGGACTTGGGCAGAGCGCCGCCGAGCAGGGCGAGAGTCGCGTCAGTTTCATCAGCCACCAGATTCGCGGACAGCTTGCCCATGATCTTTGGTGGTTGGTTCTCGCTGTTTTGATCATCACCATCATCGAGACGTCAAAATTCATCCAAGATCCCGTGACGTTTTCGGTCTTTAACATCATATTCGAGGTCGTCTCAGCATACGGTACGGTCGGAATATCAGTCGGCATACAAACTGACGCGTACAGCTTCTGCGGCGCCTGGCACGTCGGAAGCAAGCTCGTTCTGTGCCTGGTGATGTTACGTGGCAGACATCGAGGGCTGCCAGTTGCGCTGGACCACGCGGTGCGACTTCCAGGACGGCAGCTCCATCGGTATGAAGAGGAGGACCATCAGATACGGAGGAGCAGGACAATCGAGCTGGAACGGTAGAATTACATGTAGATTGCCTCAAGGTACGGTTATTAGACATGTTGAAAAGAACCATTCCATTGCTAATAGCTCAAAGATTGATGCTGTCTACACGTAAAAGTGCTCTGAATGGGATCTATAATGTTAACGCTAGATGAAGATGCAGTTTAAAATGATAGACTGATCAGGAACACGAGAACTCGCTCCAAGTAATGCAACCAACGAAGAACATACGATGCGATGATTCAAACATAGACCAAATGCGCCAACTACTCTAATGCACTAGGTGAGATGCGATGTGATGCGATGCGATGATAGGGAACAAGAGACGTGAACACCGAATAAATAGAAAAAGCAAAGTGGCAGAGATTGAGAGGAAAGATATTGTAGCGTCATCTCGAAGTTGCCACGGTGATTTGAAGTTGGCCTATTCTATCATGCGGGCAAAGAAACGCTATGAGGGAAGAATCGGTCGTACGTCGATTTTCCGAGCTTGGCGATGGGCACGCTTATACCGTGAATCACCTACACAACGTCAGTATATTGACTCCAGAAAAGATATTCAGCTGTCGAGAACTCTCGAAAAGTAGTGTCACTCACGATGCTGCAGATGATCAAGAACCAGATGGTGACAAGCATGGTTTCGCCCAGCTGCTTCGCGTCCGCTCGCTGGCCGTCGTCATCCGTCAGAGTCTCCAGGAACTCGAGACCGACGTAGAGATAGAATATGGCAGAAACACCAATGGGGCCAAAGTACCCAACAAAAAGCGCCTGTCGTGGACCCCGGATCTGGCGGATATAGCGGTGTAAGCCGAGTATGACGGGAAGACGTCTCAGCAGCAGAACAAGAATACCCAGTGCGACCAGACGACCGGGACTAATCAGCTCAGAGTTCCAGAAGCTCTCCCACGGACACACAGCTCCCAGCCACATGAAAATGGCCATGTTGAGCATCATGTCGACGGCGGGCTGCACGGGATCCTCGACCGTCTCCAGACGGAACCAGTCGTTCCAGGTGAAGACGTTGCCCGCGATGAAGCACGCTAGTACATCGTCGCTGCCGACCATACCGCACGTGCCGAGGATGAAGATGGCCATGCCGATGGGGAAGAGGAGAAAGCATTCCCGCTCCACGTACTTGCGTCGCTCGGCCCAGTGGAGCAATCTCTGCGCGAGCAGGCCGACGACCCAGCCATAGAAGACGCTCATGAGCACGACGTAGACGCACGTCTGGCCGAAGAAGAGGCTCAGCGCGGCACCGAAACCGCCCTCGCTCGAGGCTGGGTTACCGTCGCTCTCGGTGTACTTGATGAGGTAGAGCGCGAGGAAGAGAAAGGGGTAACCAAGGCCATCATTCGCTCCCGACTCGGCAACGATGATCTGCTGCAGGTCCTCGGGGACGTTCTCCTCGGCAAACCGGCCCTTGACAATCGTGGTGGAGAGAACCGGGTCGGTCGGGGTGATGCAGGCCGCGATGGCGAGAGCGTGGACGAGGGGCAGGTCCGGGACGAGGAGCCAGACGACGGCACTGGTGCAGGTCCACATGCCGATCATGCCGGGGCCGAGGAGGAGGCAGAGGGACTTCCACTCTGTGCGAAGGTAGCGGCTCGGCAGCTGGACGCCGGCGAGGACGAGCTGGACGCCGAGGACCAGGCGGCTGAAGTCGAGGGTCACGGAGGCGACGGCATCTTCGGATACGGCGTATTCGCCGGGCTTGAGGAGCTTGGCGACGTGGGTGAAGGTTACGCCTCCGAGGAGGGAGACGACTTTTAGCAGTAGGGTTGGTTAGCCAGTGCGATTTGCCTTGTTACAGCTGTGCCTAAACAGAGGCAGAAGAAGCAGAAGAAGAAAGAACCACAGGTAAGGGGAAGCTATGGTTCACTTACAGGCTTCAGAGAGATACAGGTTCTCTTTGATGAGATACGAAAAGGTGCCGAATAAGACGAGCCATCCGCCGAGCACGCTAATCACCACGTTGAAATTCGTGATTGAAAGGTCCATGATGCCGCTCAATGTGCTGCAAGCAAGCAGCCCCGATTGAATGCCTCGCCTTTGGGTCTCGACGCCTTGGGATGAAGAAGGGGTTGAGTATGCTTCGGCTGCGACATGAAAGGGAAATGCCTCACGTTACGGTACCTGGCGGGATGCCGCTGCGATTACCAACTCGAGCTCGACGACGGAAATGCGCCCTGAACCAACTATACCAACACTCACAAAAGTAAGAAGGAGAGCCTATGACAAGGGCAAATTGACTTGGATGTATGAAGAATCAAATTTGGAAACGCAGACCTGCTTGAAAAGACATTCACGGCTATCGGATCGGATATCCATACTCGTTCATCACGTTAGATCGGGCAGCCGTTGTTTTCTCCCGCGAGCGCCCGCAAGACAGGACGAAGGAGGCCACCGATGGAAGCCCGCTCATCTATTTCGTTACTAGTCCCGATCTTTTGCTCTCATTTTACCACCTTACCTGTCACCGACTCACCCATCAGGTAGGATGAGGCATTTCAAGGCCACGGAGGCTTAGCCTTTAGCCCATGTCGGTAGCGCCCGCTAAAGCCAAGTCATCCTGACCCCCTTCTCGCAAACATGTGCCCCCCTGCCACTGGCCATCAGGCCTGTTCGTGGTCCCCTACATTTTCAAGGGCTCATGCAGGGTTCTCTCGACTTTCAGAGCTACCGCGAAGAGCGCCTAACCGTCTTTTCTGACAATCCCATCTCGAATCTGCTTGAGACGGCCGCGGCTATTTGAGACTGCGGGGCAGAGTCATGCGCTCCTTGTGCCGCCAGTATCTTGTTTTCCTGGATCTATCGATGCCTTTGGGACCTTGTTCTCGTACACTCAAGCGCTGTAAGCCAGTGCCGTCATTGCCGTTGAAGAACTCCAGCAGCGAACTACCCCAGCCTCTCTATCCGCATTCCCCGCTGTAAGGTTCAATCCGAACCCCTGGCGAACGTCTTAAGCAGTAGACGGATACCTTGGTTCAGCAAGGCATAGTATCATGTCTCGAAATTCCGAGAGCTCATCGACTCACAACGGAACTGGTAGAACAAATGATGTTCTGTAGGCTTGTAGTGTTGAACACTGCCGACATAGCGCTCACCCACGAGTGAGCTCAGTAAGCTCATCTGAGAAGCCTTTAACCAGTCGCAACGAGGAAATCAACAATTCACTGCGCGAGAAGCAATTTTGCCTCGCAACCTCATCGGATAATCCAAGTTATAAACATTAATCATGGAGGGCCGACCGCCTCTGAACGCCAACCAACGCTGTGCAGGACTTTAGACTGTCGCATTCTTATTTCATACAGCTCTCATCGCGCTTCATTTATGTATGTGTCCCGATTTGGCCTTGTTGCGTCTTGCCCTCTAGGCGGACCTAGCCGTGTTAGTCGCGATGATGACCCAAAGGCAGTGAGATGAGATATTGGTCGTGTCTCCCATAGTATGTATGCATGAGGAGGGGTCGACTTCTCATTCAGTTTCATTGAACCATATGTTCCATTGTGGCAAACAACGACCACATGATAACAGTTCGTAGCACGATCTCGTCAAACTTCGCCGATTGGAAGAATTTCTTCAAACGTCGTTGCTTTCGAAACCGAGCCTACATGACAGCCGTCTAACATGTCTACTCACTTTAGTATGTAGTTTCAGTCGGCTTGCATTCATTGAACATTACCAATACTCAGAAGTGAAGTTTCTCTCTCGAAAACAGCCTTCAACATCTTGGCAGAGCAGATGCAGGTGCTGCTGAAACCCAGATCTTACACCCTGTGACCCTTCATATTGCAGTATGAAGAAGACAATATCAAGGACGACTCATTTTCCAGAGACCATGACTAACAATATTGCAGGCCGACTATCGGAAGATGTTTGATAAGTACGCCGAAGATGAGATGCATCGGCGGCGAAACGCCTCTCACATACCACTCCACCACAGATCTTGATGAGACGAGGTCTGACGCCCACTGGCAGCGGCTCGAATTTGACGCCAAAGCGCACTGGCAGGATTGCGGGGACTTACAACGGCCCGAAGATCAACAGCACGATTGATTTCACACTCGAAAGATGTCGTTGGAAAATGTGAGCTTTGGTATAAGATTTGGGCGGAGACCCTGGAAAGACGCGCTCTTCGCGCGAGCCTTTCATCTTTTCTCATTGGTTTATTGTTAAATCATATCACGAATCTCATTTTAATTCAAGCGCTATCAGATAGCTACTAAAGCCATCAATCATGGGTTCGATGGGAGAATATTCTGTGCCACAGGAGGCGGAGGCGGTGTTCCAACACGGCATTCTGAACAATCCCTTGATGAAGGACCTTCCCGGTGACCTCAAATCTCTCAGTCAACATGTCAAGTTTGAGGGTTCAAGCAAGCCAAGCGTTCCGATCAATTGGCGATTTGCCGAAAGCATCTCGGCTTTGAAAGCATTGGAGGCAACCATGCTCAACCGGCTAATTCTCAAGAAGTACAACAAGGAGCCAACGGATGTCACCATTAACACGTAAGCCATTTCATTTTAGTGATCTAAGTCTGCCTTGATCCCGTAGAAGGCCCTTGCAGAGGGAACTCACACAGTCTCTAGTGACCATGCAAGCTTGTTCTACTTTTCGCCTCTCATTGCCCAGCTCATCGGTAAGGATGGCAAGTTTACGCCCATGGCGCTTATGAACTTTGTGCCCGAGGCCATGAAGATGTTCCCAGAAACGGATAAGCACAGGACCGCCGCCAGCTTGCATCGAGCTTTGGTGACAAACATTCATAAGACAAAGGATGGACGGTATTATCAGCTTCACGGTGAGATACTCCTTCGCTGAACGAACTCAACCATAGGTCCTTTGGGCTCTCGCATCTGACGGAATTTTGTAGGCGGCATAAACCCCGACCCCATCCTCAAAGCTCTGGGCTTGCCTGAAAATGGCCCAGCGGATGACACTTACGAATCGGTCTTCGAGAGAACCCAAAATGTCATCGCCGAGATGGACTCCAAAGACCTGGACGCTTTACTCAACGACAAAGCGCAACAGTCTGGCACAATCGCTTGGTCGTCTGACGAATACTTTGCAAGCGAGCACGGCAAAGCAAACAGCAACGTCGGACTCTACGAGATCGCAAAAGTCCAAGGCTCCACACAGCCCGCATCTTGGTGGTCCGAAAACTCGAGCCTACCCTCGTCGGCCAAGAGACCCCTCGCCGGCCTCAAAATCGTGGATCTGACCCGAATTATCGCTGCCCCGGTCATATCGCGCGATCTGGCGGAGATGGGCGCGAGCGTCATGCGCGTCACCTCAGATAAGATCACGGACATGTCTTCTCTGCACCAGGATCTCAACTGGGGCAAGTGGAATTGCCACTTGGATCTCACCAAGGACGAAGACAAGGAGAAGATGAGGGCGTTGATCAGGGATGCTGATGTCGTTGTTGATGGGTACCGCCCTGGCGCCATGGAGAAGCACGGTTTTGGTCGCAAGGAGATTTTGGAGCTGGTGAAGGATCGCCAGCGAGGAATCATTCACGTCCGTGAGGATTGTTACGGATGGCATGGACCCTGGCAGGGACGTGGTGGATGGCAGCAAATTAGTGACGCCGTGAGTGACATACTGCACAGGATCACTTTTGGAGACTCTACTGACAAGTAATCAAGTGCTGTGGTGTCTCGTTAGAGTATGGAAAGGCAATGGGTCTCGATGAGGCGGTTACTCCGGTGTTCCCGAACTCAGACTACTGGTATGTTAAGCACAGAAGAACTAATCCACTGATCTGGGATTATTAGAAATATACTAAAATGCGAGATAGTGCTGGAGTCTGCGGAAGCACTGCTGTTCTTGATGCTCTCATGAAGCGCGCCGAAGACGGAGGAAGCTATGGCGTCGACGTAAGTCTCGATCTGCCGATGAAAATAATTCAACTTCAAGATGCTTTCCAGCTAACCCCATGTACACAAACAGGTCGCCCTCAACTACTATTCCCAATGGCTCGTCCGTTCATGCGGGACATATCCTGAACCTATCTGGAGAGAAGTCTGGGAGCGTCATGGATCACCCGTATTCCGGCACTTCCACACAATGGCCCACAATGTCCCGGTCATGTCCAAGCTGCTTCAGGAGTACGACGCGCAGGTTCTCTTCAACCCTCAATTCTTTGAGATGCGAGTGTCAAAAGCGGTTGATGGAACTTTCTGGGTTGTCAAGCCTGTTCTGCAGTATGGCAACAACGCGGTTGAAATGAGGTACAATGTAGGCACGAGAGGTAATGGTGTTGACCAGCCTGTCTGGCCCGAGGATTTGTCTACGGAAGTGGTTGGAAAGTAAGTTTCTGATAGAACTGACCTATGCATTGGGCATTATGAATACAGCAACTATCGAACCAACAGAACCAACGTTTCTTGCTACAGGTATTAAATAATTGTAGGCACCTTGAAACATGTTCAACAACCTTCTAAGTATCTTCATAACCAAAATCGTTAGCTCTCAGTTTGATGCCTCTCGTAATCTAGCTTGGTTCACAGCTTCGGCAAGCTCTGCGGGCTTCACTCCAGCCGGATCTCGTAATTGTGTAAATGAATCCCCATCCTTTGGCCCAAGAACTCCGGCATCCTTCACAAAGCCACGGTGTGAATCAAAGAAGAAGATAGTCGCATGTAAAGCATCTGGTGCAACTTCTGAGACGTGGAACTCGGCGGCCGGAACTGTGTACGTTGACCCCCTAGCATGAGTCTCTGAATGAATCTTTCCAGCTCGGAAGAGCTTCCCCGTGTTCTGCACAGTAGAAGATGCCTGATGTGTCTTGTACGCAGTATCCGCCCCCTTGCCGTCGTTCCACACAAGTGCATACCCTGCGTGAGTGGCTTCTTCTGGCTCCTCGACAGGATCAACTTGATAGGAGTGATCCACGCCCTGCCCTGCCAAGATCCAGCTCTGCGCAAACGGCTGGTGAGAGTGTAAGTGAAAATCGGGGCTCCCGCGCTTGCCGTCCGGCATCCAGACGTGCAGGCGAATGAGCTCGTCGATGCTGCCGTCCTTGACCAAGCTGCACAATGGGACTGATAGAAAGCCTTGTGCGCTGCGAGAAGCGGTGAACCGTGTTCGGGAAGAAGATGTTGATGTGAGGGCGTCGCGGATGATGGTCCAGCATTGGCTGATGTCGTCTGCTGTTGCGGGCTGGTTTTGGCGTGCTGTTTCGCGGAGGAATGACACTGCTACTGCGACGAGTGCAATATGGACGGCTGCCCCGGCCATTCTTGTGACATTTTGCTGGATGATGACTTGCCAGTCCTGAAAAGATAGACTGGCCGATTTGGTCTTGGTCTCACCGCCTTCGTTGCGTGGAGACAGCAGCTGTTTGATTGTGTCAATTTCATCAGAAGCAGCCTTAGTAGCCTGTGCGACCCCTGTCAACGATCTGAAGACTGTCTCATATGAAATATCCATTTTGTCTCGTTGATGAATGGCCCTGCTGATGCAACTCTTGGTTCCTACTATTATCTGAATGATGCTGAACGAGGGAAATACAGCGATGCGCGATTGAAGCCATTTAACTCTTATCAGTTGGAAACATCAAGCTCTATATAGGAGTCAATTTGATAGATGAAGTACGGCTATTCGCAAGGCACATTGCATGCTGAATATTGATCCTTTTGACGAATCACAAGCGACCGGTGGTGACACACCGTCAGCACAGCCCCGACGCATCCAGGCAACACCGGGCTGCGAAGTGGAAAATGTGGAATAATGTGCGAAAAGAAAAGTCATGTTCGTATTATATGGATATCTCTAATACTACAATTCGAAAAACCTTCAGTGCCTCGCACCCTCGCCGTTGACAACCTTGTCAACGTTACGATGAGTGCCTCTAATGGGCGCACCGTTGTTCTCCGTCAGACTCTGGCAGGTCGTGACGTCAATGCCATTGGCGTACTTGTTCTTCTTCTCCCTTGCAAAGCCGTTGTGTGTACCGTTGAAAGTCAGGTTAGCAATGCCATCGTATCCCTTGATACCGGTGCTCTTCTCCAGGCGCTCAGCAATCTCAGGATCGACCTCCCTGAAGATGGCAATCTGCTTCTTCAAAGGCTCCGGGTTCTTGCACAGCTCCATCTTGCCCGTGACGTTGTTGATGAAGCGCTCACGTGCGTCTTCGTCCCAGACCTTCTGCCACAGGGCGCGCGGCGCAACAAAGTCCTCTGGTCTGATCTCGGAGAGGAAGGTGATGGCCTGGCCGGTAAAGTGACCATGCGTCTTGTCCAGGTCCACGGTACGGGCCTTGAACTGAACGGGATCGATGGAGCTGAGGTAGTTGGGGCGCGCACCCTGGTTGAAGAATGCCATGGCACCATCACGCTGGAAGTTGGCCATCTTGTGGGCGGTCTTGGGTGCGTTAACGGGAAGTTGCTGGTAGTTTACGCCGATACGGTGACGGTGGGTATCAGGGTAGGAGAACAGACGGGACTGAAGGACCGGGTCGGCGGAGGGCTCGATGCCGGGGGGCATGTGCGAGGGGTTGAAAGCAACCTGCTCGACCTCGGCGAAGTAATTCTGAGGGTTCTCGTTCAAGGTGAACTCGCCCACCTTGCGGAGGGGGTATTTGCCCTGAGGCCACACGTGCGTGAGGTCAAAGACGTTGATCTTGTCGTTCTCCCATGCATCCTCTGCCTCCTTGGGTGTCATGGTCTGAATCTCAACTGACCACTTGGGGTAGTCGCCGTTCTGGATAGCCTCAAAGAGGTCCTTGCCGGAGTAGTCGGCTGACTTGGTGAGAGAGTCCTCTTGGGTGATGAATTTGGTGCCCTGCTGGGACTTCATGTGAATCTGGGCGTAAACCCATGATCCGTCCTTGTTGACGAGCTTCATCGTGTGACCAGCGTAGCCGTGCATGAAACGGTAGCCATCAGGAATGCCACGGTCACCCATCAAGATCATGACTTGGTGAATTGACTCGGGGTTCTCGCTCAAGTAGTTCCAGAACTAAGGAAGCATTTTAGCAGGATTCACATGTGTACGATCATAAGGATTAAACATACCATGAACGAGTCATCCATGTGGTTGAGATGCGTCTGAGGATCACGCTTCTGTGTGTGAATAAACATTGGGAACTTGGCAGGGTCTCGCAGGAAGAAAACGGGCGTGTTGTTCGCCACCATGTCCCAGTTGCCATCCTCTGTTCTGAATTTGACGGAGAATCCTCTGGGGTCGCGAGCAAGATCCGGCGAACCAGACTCGCCGCCAACAGTCGAGAAGCGCACGGTGATAGGGCACTTCTTGCCCTTGGTACCGAAGAGATCGGCCTGCGTAAGCTCGGGGATCGGATTCGTACACTCGAAGAAGCCATGAGCGCCGCTGCCCTTGGCATGCACGACACGCTCCGGAATGCGCTCGCGGTCGAAGTGAGAAAGGAGGTCGATCAAGTGGAAATCCTGCAGCAACAACGGACCGTTCTCACCGCATCGCTGTGTCTCGTAGGGGTGAGGCATCGGGACGCCATTGCTGGTGCTGTAGATAGCCTCCTTGGAAGTCATCTGTCTATCCTTCTCGTATGTGCTAAATTGGCCTGCCACATGGGCTGCGAATGATGTGTCGGTGGAACCCATATTGAATGTCTTTTGCGCAGTTTCAATTGGATGTTTGATGATTCTTTGAACAGTCTCCATGAGATTAAGAAGGCGTTGAGAGAGGTCTTATACCAGAGAGAGATATGGTGAGCTATGCCGCCACCCGCCGGTGCTTGGGCACTTTATGTGGAGGGGCTCGAACCGGCATACACACAGAAAAGTTGCCATCAAAACTCAATGCCATGACGCAGCTCTGTAGGAACAATACCGTCACTCATGTTGGACGAATCACAAACTGCAGATTACTACATCAAAGCAGTCTGAAGACGGGGAGTAGTGTTTGTCACTCCATGTCTGGTTGTAGCGGCATGGGGAACGACGGAACTAGGCCATACCCGCATTAGCACCCGCTCTCTAAGGAGCGGGTCACAGGAATCGATGACGCTTGGTACGGAGCCTCCTTGGCCTCTCGACTTTTCGATTTTTCATCGTTTCGCCTTTTTCGACTCTGGGCTACGGTCCTAATTCGGGGATAACTCCGTGATAACGAAGACCAGGCAGTCGATGGATATCACGTCCAATGCTCCGATATCCTGGCGCTGAAGCCGATTGGCTTTTGGGAATTTTCAAATGGGTATGGGAGTAATTCGAAGGAGCCACGGAACCAGATCAAAAGACAAGATGTGACGAAGACCAGAACTGCGGGGGCCAAAGGGCGCGGTAGACTAAGACGATTTAGACCATCAAGCAAATACCGGCACTTGTTTGAAGCAATCCAAGATGCAGCCGCTACTAAGACTCCGGAGATCTAGCTCCGGAGGAGGCCAGACGCCACTGCCAGATTCCCATCTTTCATTAATGGAAATCCTTCAAATCCGATATTTGGTGGTTAGCTCACAAGTGCCAGGTAGCAGTGTGCTAGGGGAATCCCAGATTCGGGGCCAAAGCACCGATCCGCATGAACCCAATCGATGATGTATGCGAACAGCCCGCTGATGTCATGAAGCAGAAGGCCGAGCCAAGACCGATGACAGGCGCTCCACCCCCGCCGTGACCTTGGCTGGCGAACGCAGAGCTAGGGCACTTTTTTGAAGACTTTGGTGATGAAGCAAAAGGTCTAGAACGTGGTGAAGTCGGCGATGCGGCACGCGATGAACCTGAAGGTACCTTTTGAAGAAAAACCGTTGAATAATCACTTTCAATCCTTTTGTCCGTTTTATGTACACCTGTCCCAGCGATACCTGAGTTCGAAATCCGCAATACCCACGCAATCAGACTCACCAACGATGGTCTTCTACGGCGCATACTTTGAAGTGCACCAACCATTCTAATGCTAAATGACGCCGCATATGAGTTCAAATGAAGAAGACTTTACGGGAGGAAACCCTTTATCATAACTTTTCATCGGCCTTGGCGTGGAGTCGTAGACAAATCGAGCGAATGAGTCTCATTCTCACTCATCCTTCATGACGACCGAGGAGTGATTTATGCGAATTTTCGGCACTCAATCATGTCTCAATTTGATTCACTGATTTCTTCACTCGCCTCATCCTCGACCCGCGTACTGTTAACCGGGGGGTAATGAGCCAGTAGAAGAATGCCCACGGCGACAACGGCGAGAGCCTGTAACGCGATTAGAGAACAAGCATCAGGGATGTAAAGACTCATATGTGAGCACTCACGGCGTTCACAAAGAATGTGAGATTCGGCTTGCCCATCTCAGACAGCGTGGCAAATATGAAGCCGAAGATACCCTGCGTCGTGAGAGTCGCTGCACTCTCAACTAGGGTAATGGCACTCAGGGCGTCTTGTCGCATATGCGGCGGGCACATTTCCGTGATGACGCCCTTTGCTGCAGGGGCCGATCCGGATGCGAATGGTAGCAGGAAAGCGGCTGCGAATGAACGAAATTAGCATCTTGCTCTAGCCTCTGGAGTTTGGGGTAAAGTGGACAGCAAAATTGAGATACTCACCGGCATAGACATGCCAGCCCTCCGTCGCCCAAGCCGCGAGGGACGTGACGATGCCATCCACCACCAAGCTCCACCTCAGGAAGAACAGGTCAAAGGTGCTATCCTCGTCCTCCTCTTCAGGCGGCGCCTTTGTTGGCTCGGAAGCGTTCATCAAGCCGGGTGCCGGGTCCATGTCCTCGGGGTGAGTGGGGATGACGCACCGTTCCTCTTGGGTGAGCGTCTTTTGAAGAGCTCCGGCATCGGATGACGAGGCAAACCATCTGCGTCCGCTGTCGATTATTTCCGGAAAGATGAACATTAAGAAGATGCCGCGGATCCACGAGTTGCCGGACATAAGGATACCGTTCTCCGTTGTGCCAAAGTTGAAGCGGGAGGTGGCGTACATCTGGATGAGGATGGGCGCATAACCCGTGGCGAACTGGGGCACTGTTAGCAATGTGTTCATGGATGAATGCCGCCGATTTCAATGACGGAGGTAGTAGACTAACCACGCCGAAGAAGATGCCCAGGGCCAGGAAGACGAGACCATAGTTTTTCACAATCTTGCCAGATTCAAGACGGTACTTGGACGGCATGAGCACCTTGATAGGAGCCAGGAAACCAGAAGCGCCGGGCGTCGTCTTGCCGTCCGTCTGCTCCGTCTCTTCTGGGGGTGCCGGCCAGAAGATGGCCCCGTAGGTTGTTGCAAAGGCAAAGCAGCCGATGGCAACGATGAAAGGACTGGTGATGCCGAACACATCACCCAAAACACCGCCGACTGATCACTCATTAGCAGGCGAGGGTAGGAAAGGTAGAATGTCGACCTACGCAAGTACCCTATGGCGGTACCGATCATGACTGCACCCTGCAGCCGACCAAACACGCCCGTATGCTTTCTTCTTTCGACAACTTCCGCAATTGCCGTGTTCAAAACCAGCCTTTAGTTACAATTGCATTAGCGCCGCGGTCCCAGCGCATCTTACTTTCCTTGCTGTACCTAGGTAGGTAGGTAGGTAGGTAGGTAGGTAAAGTACTTACATGTATCCCCTCGGCCCACCAAAGATGCCAATAAGCTGCGTGTACTGCATCATGTCGATTCCCTTTTGCGCGCCCTGCGACACGGCGAGGACCTGGCACGAGACGCGGATGCCGAGCAGGCCGGTCTGGCTGATAAGGGCCCAGCGGGTACCCCAGCGCTTGATGAGGTCGCCGCAGATGAAGAGGTTAAGAATGCCGCACACGGAGGTGGTCATGCCGAGGATGGAGACCTGGGTGGCCGTGTTTGCGTCAATCTCACGGCGGTGACACATTTCCGAGGCGGGGCCGTCGTAGGGCACGTGAGACTTGTAAAAGGTTTCGCATGCCATTACACGGAAGACGTAGATAATGCTGTAGACTACATGTCAGTTTCCGTTACTGTGGTACACATCCTCGCAACCATGCCATAGTACAGCATGGGTGAGAGGAGAGGGGTGAACTTGTGCGCACGGAACTTGAGTGAGGCCTAGTGTCAGGGAGACGAGGAAGCCGGCGAACAGGATACGGTTTGCGGGTGACCAGAGGCCGCGACCGACCCGCTTCACGGCCCCGGCGCCGGATTTGATTTTGAGGAGGGGCGTCCGTTCATCTGCATCGGCGGCCATCGGGACGGGTGGTTGGGTGTGTGGATGGGATAAGGTACGGTCACAGAGAGGGTGGAAGAGAGCTCTTAGGTTTCGCAGAATCACGCCTTTCGTCCAATAAAGTATTTGTTTATGAGGCTCAACTCTAAAGATCTGGTAGAACTAGGAAGGTCGGTTTAACGTTTCGCAGGGTCGGAAGGGGGGAGGATAGGACAGGATGGGAGAGGAGAGGGGTTCGAAAGAGAAACAAATGGTGACAAAGCCGGACTGGGCTGAATGGGGGGCATAAAGCGATTAAAGGTCACTGGGTGACTGGGGGGGTATAAGGTGTGGTAAGAAAAAATCGAGTGAGAATTGTATGGGTTTTCCTGCGAGTTCCCCGGATTGCTGGGATGTCTGTTGCTGCTGGACCGTTTTACCGAAAAGACGTGCGGAATCCCCGCTATTTCGTCAGGAAAACGATGGGCCTCCTACTTTTGGGTTCTTCTCAAGAGGAACTTTGGTGGAGCACCACAGAGTCCTGACCGGTCACCGGTGTTGGTTAACGGATTGAGTGGTGCCGGAAGTGTGAGTGAAGGAGGAAGTGTGGGTGTGGCGGAAGAGGATAGCACTCGGTAAAGCCAACAGATAGCCGCCTGAATGACTCTTACAGAATGGTTAGAGTATGCAAAGACCTTTGGTTTCTGTTGGCTGTACATAGTAAGTGTGGTATTTTGGTGTGTGTGAGAACTGCAAAAGAGCCGATGAGATGAGGGGGGGAGGGGCGGCCGCCGATGCAGGAGCCGAGCGCGGCCTTGTGTTGCCGACCCGGAGTGGAGATGGTGGGGTGCCGGATAGCTTCACGGGTGCTGATAGGTCCGAGATAAACTCACCGGAGTCTAGACCCGTTGGACCGGCGCAGGACCGGAGCTTGTCCGGGAATGCGCTGCTTATCGTCGGCCCTGAGCTGCCGAGGGGGCCGGCCGACTCCGGCCTTACATCTACAGTCTCATTGACTTCATAGTATACATCATGAGTCTCTTGAGTCTCTTGAGTGTAGATGGAATTGCTTTTGTTCAAATCAGCAAAAGGCTCGGAGTAGACAGCCATGTGTGGTACAAGATAATCCTCGTGAAATGATGCCCCGTGCTCATGCTCCTCATCATCCTCTGACTCCCTCCTATCTTAAAGCAAAGGATGCTCCAGTACAAGCTTACCAAACTTGCCCTGGTCAGCAACCTTCTTCACCTCCTCCAGCGCATCCTCCGCCGTTCCCTTGAAAACATCCACCACAGGAATCGAGAACTCGGTGCCGTAATTCTCAACAGACCACATCAACGCCTTCCACATCCTGCCCCAATCCTCCAACCGTGGAGGGATCGTGATAAGGGGACCACCGCCCAGCTGTAGTGTGATTTCCGTATTCGCCGATGCCAGCGGCATCTTGATTCTCCCACCCGGCTTCGCCACGACAGACAGAATAATAGCATTCTCATCAACACAAGCCTCCGTCTGTGATGCCGAGGTGACCTCACCCCTTGAACCCGCACAATCGGCCGCGTAGCGAATTGGCCCCGCGCCAGCCTCCTCCGCCGCCTTCTTGATCTGAGAAATCACGTCTGGGGCGTTATAATCGAAGCAGCGCGTCGCCCCCATCTTAGTGAGCATCTTATGCCGCCCGGGCGACGCGGTGACGAAAATGGGGCTCGCACCGCTCTCCCGCGCTAATTGCAGCATGCAAAGTCCAACGCTGGCGGATGCGCCCCAAATAAGTAGCGGACCAGCCTTGAACCCTTGCTTTGCCTTCTCCCCAGGGAGAGGGTATCCAAAGATATTGTACAGCCCGTCGGCGGCTGTGGTCAGCACCACCGTGAGACTCGCAGCGTGCGTCTGGGGCAGGTTATCCGGAACCTTGAAGAGCATGTCTTCCGGACAGCTCAGGTACTCCTGATGCGCGCCGTGTCTCATTGGTTTGCCCATGCCGGTGGGTACGTAGCCGGCCACCAGGTCGTCCGGCTTGAAGGCGGACGACGCATTTTCTCCAGCAGCCCGGACGACTCGGCCGCAAAAGTCGTAGCCGAGGGTCACTGAGCGGACGCCGATGTATGGTGCGTGTTTGACGTCGGCGGGGTTTACGCCAGAGTAGAGAACCTTGACGAGGACCTCGCCATCTACGGGGTCGGGGATGGGAAGATTGCGGATGACGGAGAAGTTGCAGTCTTCGTCGACATAGAGCGCAGGCGCCGTCGATGTTGTTTTGCTGCCCATTGTGAGGTTTCGTCTTCTATTGTCCTAGTGGGGGTTGACTTTGGCTGCCCGCCATAATTATCACACGGCAGACCAGACGCATCTTATGCAGTAACTTGTGGCCATGGACAGAACACTTCAAAACGTGGAATTGACCCATTTGTTTGCCCCCTTTCGCTAGCGTCCACTTCTCCGGGTCGCGACCCTCTCATAAAATCGGGCATCCGGTGGGAGGTGGGCGGCTGAATAAAGATGAACGGAGCTCTCTAGAAGAATCACGGACGAATACGGCCGTCTCGGACAAGTTGCCCGATTTATTCATCGGCCAACGGAGGGTTCCTAACACCCGAGGTCGCCGGGGCCCATCTCTAGACTCTGCCGGGCGGGGGGTGGTAGCGTACAGTTGACGCGCCTCGGGTGATCAGCAGGGCCAAATGGCGGGGAAGAACTCAAACATATGCGGCATGGATATGCCCAGGCCCTCTCCGACGTATCGCATGGCATAGGCAGACTGTAGGGCTACATGTGAACTGGTCCCAGGTTGAGTCCAATAAGTACGAGGCCCTCGGACCTCGCCCAGGCGAATATTACCCCAAGAGGGCGAAAATGGCAACGCCATTGGCTGGTACACAAGTGGGAATCTGCCGTGGAGCCATGCCGGTGAAGGGGGCCGTGTTTCTGAGCGTTCTCGACGACCCGTCATCAGGAATTGGGTCAAATCCGAGGATTTACAGAGTCCCCTGAGAGGTGTAGACAGGCCGGGAAGCTCGGATTTATGATGGTCTCGTATAATAACGATATAACAAACATGCGATGCTGCCGCCATCAAAGAGGCTAATAGTCTTGTTCTAGACAAACATTGTACCTGCATCAACGGGTATTTATCACTGCGAGTTTGTTAGATTAAGCAACAATGGCGCCACTTATCGTCAACAACATTGAAGTCATCCAGACCCCCACTATCCCTCCAGCATGGCCAACTCCCAAAGAGCCTTCCCGCGTGGAGCTCTCAAGCGGAAGTCAAAAGACCCCAGAGCATCGTCCGCTCCCGTGCGACATCATCCTTGAGCGGGACCAGCCGTTGACGCTGCGCGACGGGACCCGCATCCGGGTTGACATCTTTCGGCCGAAGATGGACGAGAAGGTCCCTGCCATCCTGATGTGGTCGCCCTACGGGAAGACTGACACGGGTACGGCCCAAAATGATGCCAATTGTGTTGTTGCGTACCAACTACTAACAGTATTTTCCAGGCACCCTGAATCTCCACGCAGTTCCTTTACGATGTGGCGTTCCCCTGAGCAAACTATCGGGTTACGAGTCGTTCGAGGGGTGGGATCTCCCTAACATGCGCCCTTACTATCAGACTTGGAAGACTGACTTGCCTCCAAGACTAGACCCCGCTGAATGGGTGCCGAAAGGCTATGCCATCATCAACGCAGACGCCAGAGGATGCGGTGACTCTGAAGGCGACATGAGGTCGTGGGGTACCCCAGAGGGCCAAGACGGCCACGACGCCATTGAGGATATCGCCAAGCTGCCCTGGTGCACAGGCAAGGTCGCCATGGCTGGCAACTCATGGCTTGCGCTGTGTCAGTGGTACATAGCCGCCGAGAGGCCGCCTCACTTGGCGTGTATTGCCCCTCTGGAGGGTGCGAGCGATCATATGCGCGAGAGTCTGTGCCGTGGCGGGATTCCTTCGATTGGGTTCGGGTCGATGATTAACAATGTGGTTCGTGGTAAGTTGCACGCCTATCCATCTATAGGCTTTAACTATTCGACTCAACTGACTGTGAATCAGGTCGTGGTCAGCAAGAAAACAGCGTCGAGATGCTGCTTAAGCACGGGCAGGGTCTCAGAGCGTACTGGGATGACAAGAGGGCCCGCATGGACAGGATTGAGGTCCCGGCCTACATCTTGGGCAGCTATTCGACGATGCTTCACACCATTGGGAGCTTCAGAGGTTTCGAAGAGATCCCTCACCAAAACAAATGGTTCGTTCAATGCATGCACCCTGGCCCAGGTCACATTTAGTTGACTTCTTCCTAGGATGGTGACCCATGCTACGCAAGAGTGGTTCGACCTATACAGCCAAGAACGTACCGATGACTTGCAAAAGTTCTTCGACCGCTACATGAAAGGCATCGACAACGGGTGGGAGAAGACTTCGCCGGTGAGGCTGGCCGTGCTTGGCTACAACAAGCCACCCGTGATCGATCTCCCTTTTGACTCTCTTCCTTGGCTATTACCGAGTGCCACGAACACGGGACTCCAGCGTCTTTACTTGGGTGCCGACAAGACGCTGCAGCATTCCAAAAACACCGATACCGCAACCCTTGGCTATGAGGGCACGGAAACCATGGTCTTCACGCACACCTTTCCCAAGTCTACGCAGCTGCTGGGCCCAACCAAGCTCGTGGTCCATGTATCCTGCCCCTCGGCTACAGACTTTGACGTCTACGCTCAGATTCGCAAACGAGATGCAAGCGGCAAAGACCTCGAGCATATTAACATTCCCCTCGAGGCACTCCCCGTGTCTGATCCCAAGGAAATCCCCAGCATCAACCCGCTCAAATACCTAGGACCCAACGGCAAGCTCCGCGCCTCCAAGCGCAAGGTCGCGCCGGAGCTGTCGCCCAACTACTGGCAGACGCTAGCCCACGACGAAGACATTGAGGTCAAGGCGGGCGAGATCGTCAAGATGGAGGTCTGGATATGGCCCACTGCCATACAGTTTGATGCCGGGGAGCAGTTGGCGCTCAAGATCACCGGCTCTGATAGTCTGGTGTTGCCAGAGTTTGAGTTCCTGGCCGAGAAGCCGAAGAATGCTGCTGGTCAGGTTGTCCACTTCGGCGGAGAGTACGAGAATTACTTGGAGGGGCATTGGCATGATTGAAGGGCTAAGATTCATGAAGCCCGGTTGGCTTTGGTTATTGTACACAGCAGTCCATCAGAGTCGTAATTGTGAGATCAAGTGTATCAAGTTTCTACGATTACAAAGCCTCACTCCAACGCCTGAAGGAACTTGGAAAAGTCCAACGTCCCAAGGCCAGTCGCCGGATCCCATCCAGCAGTCGCAGACCACCCGCTCTCAACCTTCGTCCCGTAAGAGCAGCTTCCGCTAGATCCGCTCGTGACATCGTTGATCGCGGAACGCACCTTGTCAGAGTACAGCAGCGGGTTAAGGAATCCCAAAGCAGGCTTTCCCTCCCTCATGCGCTTGTCGTTGGCGAGAGCGATCATCGCAGCGACGACGGGCGTGCTGGCGCTTGTCCCCTTCTGCGTCCACCCAGGCTGCATCAGGAACCGGGACCCGATGGCCGAGATGTCCGGGCTACCGCGGCCGTTCGGTGCGTACCAGCCTGCGTGTGATCCGTTGATGCCGGCAATGTACGCCTTGGCCGCGGACTCCTGCCACGCCGGACGCTCAAAGTACTCACTGAATCCGCCGGAGCTGTACCACGCAGGCTCCGTCGGCGCATAGTTGCCCGTCGCGCCGACACCCGTAACCCAGGGACAGTCGACGGGGAACGTCGGGATAAACTTTGTCGTGTTCTTGCCGTCGTTTGAGATGCAGTCTCCTGAACCGATGCCCGCTGCGCCACCGTCGCCGGTAGCTACCAGAACAGAAACGCCGCGGGCGGCGACTTGCATGAAGAGGTCGCAGACGCGACGGGCGTACGGCTGCGGGATGAGCTGCTCATCGTCGGTGTAGGAGATGGAGATGACGTCTGGGATGGTCTCGCGGGCGAGCAGGGCCTCGAGGAACTCGATCCAGGGCTCGTGGGCGCTGTCCTTGGGATCCTTTTCTTTGCCGTCAGGCCCGATTTCGGGACCGCGGCCGCCGGTGGAGAAGTAGGTTGCGTTCATCGGCTGGATGAAGGGCATGCTGTACTGGATGTCCAGCAAAGCCTCGACGCCGTTGCCTTCGGTGGTGTCGCTGCCGCCGTTGATGGACTCCACCGTGAGGTTGTACTTTGGCGAGAAGGCGGTGGTGTTTCGGCGGGGGCTGTAGGACGCCAGGAAGGCTTGGAGAGTAGGAACATTGGGATATTGCTCTAGGAAGCCGGCGATGCCAAAGTCTGTGGGTGATGGTTCATTTGGCGGGCTGTAGTTGATGTTGTAGAGATCCACGATGCAGTCGGGGGTTGTGTAGTCCCAGCAGCTTCGAGGCACTGTGATGCGTCAGTGATGTGGTGACTTAGAAACCTAGCTATTGGGATCCGCCATGAACTTACTCGTGCTCTGTCGCTTTACTTTGCCAGACTCCCTCGCCTTGATCTGTCGTCTAGGCGGCTTGCTCATGAACTGAGTAACCGGGAAGACAAAGTCGACAACCTCTGAGACCTGGCTCGGAAGAGTGTACTCCTTGGCCCGCAACACAGCCTTCTCGCTCTTGTACTGATACTTGGAGAACTTGCAACCCAACAAGCGATTCGCTTTGACGACGGTGGTGTTTATGCGAACCCAAGGGCCGTCCTGAACAAAGCTCCGAATATCGTGAGCAGAAAGCCAAGTCGCAACGACAGCGTAGGCATCAGCGTTCGGCTCCTGGAACATCTTCAAGAGATCGCGAGATACGTGTGCGCCATACTCGGCATGATTTGGGTCGCTGGTCACCTCGAGACGTGCCTTGAGCTCCGACAAGCCGGGCTGCTTCAACGCGACGGAAAGCTGGATCGTGTTGAGGTCATCGGCCGCAGCGATATGCCGCCAGCCCTGCGGGAGCTGCTTCACGACCTCGTGAACTGCATGGCCGCTAGTAGTCGGTTGACTGAGAGCGAAGCTGCTCAGAAGCAGAGTTGAAACTAACGATAGCCTCATATTCTCTGTCTTGTGGGCGTACAAGCTTGTGGGAGCGTGGCGAGTCTCACTCTCTGCCACGGTCTGCTTGGGCTTGCAGCGTCACTTCATCTAATACCAGCGGCCAGCCTTCAGGGGCCGGGACAAGCTTTTCGGCAACTCTCCCGTATCACTCGACCCGCTGCTTGGCGATGAAGAATATCTTGGGTAGGATTTGACATCATCGTGGACTCTTTCCCCCTCCAGGGGTACCCATGCAATAATGCTTTCTAAAAGGTGAAATCTCCGCCAAAAAGCTCGTATCCAAAAGATCGGACGACTGCCGAATCCCGGTAGAACAAGTCAAAAAGAATACAAACTTCACAACGGGGCCAACCGTCGGCCCTACCGCCCTGGGCTTAACCCAAAATACTAGACGAAGCTTGATGGTGGTTCGGTGCATTGAGCCAATCTCGCTTTGGCTCGACAATAGGAAAGCCGTTGATATCCACCAACTACCGTGCACTACGACCCCATATCAGCACTTTATTCGATGCCTGTCGCAATCTTAATACGAAAAATACTCTTCTCACGGCTCCCACCGGCGTTGGCGGCAGCGACTCTCCATGGGTTGTTTCGGGGCGATCATGGCCAAGCCGGGACTCGAGGCTGCGTGAACCTGCTTTCTCCGGAAAGTCACCCGAATGTTCCTCGGTCTCGCAGGTCATAGGTCATATGAGATTCTTAAAAGTTAGTATCCGAAAATAGCATTAGCATGACCCCGGTCGTGATCTTCCCCGCCATGAACCTTCACGGACCAGGAGCCTGTGGCCATAACACCACGAGATGATAAGAGAACGTGAACCCTCACACCGGAGTTGAGCCTCTCTTCCACCACGCACCTCAGTCACTCGCTCAAATTCGCTCCTACCGACAAGATGCTTGCCCAGTCCCTTGTCATGACGGCCCTGGCCAACGGCGCCCTCGCGGCCATCCCCACCGTCAGCGTCCCTCTGCACTACTACTACGGCGGCGGCCACAAGATCGCCACGAACCTGGTGAACTCGGCCGCAAACACCTCGGTCGAGGTCGTTTTCGACCAGGGCTCCGAGAACTTCTGGGTCTTTGGCCCGAACGCCATCAACAACTGGGGCTGCACCGGCTTCTTCTGCCAGGGCCAGTGCAACGCCACGGCCGAGCCCTTCTACGACTACCCTCACAGCGCGACGGCCAAGAAACCCGAGACGTTCGTGACGCAGTACGCCTACGGTGGGTACACCAAGATTGTCCAGGGCAAGGAGAGCGTCAACGACACATTCCTCTTTGCCGGCGACGCCGGTCTCACGTCAAAGGTGGACGCCCGCGTGGCTATTGCCAACTACATGCAGCAGCGCCTGTTGGACGGCGGCCAGTGCAAGCCGGCCCCGTATGACCTCGGCATCCTCGGCGTGGCGCCCTTCTACCGTACCGCAGAGTGGAACACCACCGGCCCTCATGTCCGTCAGGATCTCCTCGAGAAGGGAGCTATCAGCGCCCCCGTCCAGAGCATTTGGTTCGACGAGGCTCCCGCCGACTGGAAGGGCACCTTCACCGGCAACGCCGTCTTCGGCGCCATTGACCTGTCCAAGTTCACGGGTGACCTCGTCCGGGTGCCTCTCGTCGAGAACGATGGTCTCGGTGCCACTGTCGGATACTTTGTCTCTCCTCCCACCGTCAAGGTCAAGAACGTCACCCTCGACAAGTCGGAAGTGACCACAAAGTCCTGCATGATCGACTCTGGCACCCAGATCAACGACCTGCCCATCGGTGATGCTGGCCTTGCAGCCTTCTTCGCTGCCGCCGGTCTCACCCGTGATTCCATCGGTCACGTCTCCTACAACGGCAGCTGCGATTCCGTTCCCAAGGACCTCACCATCGATCTCGAGTTTGCCGGTGCCGACGGTAAGAGCGTGACCATCAAGACTCCTATCCGTAACTACATCCGCAACAACGCGGATGCCGAAGCTGGGCTCTGCGCACTCAACATTGACACCGGCGCTTGCATGCTTGGTGCTCCCTTCGCCACCTCTGCGTTCTTCGCTGCCGATGATGCCAAAGGCGAGATTGCGCTGGCACAGGGTGGTATCTCGAAGAGAGGTAGCAAAGCGGATGACGCCTCTCTGTCTCTCACTATTCCTTGAACAGGGATTTGGTCGCGTGGATAGTAAATCAATAATCGTTATTCGTTAAATCTCAAGAAAGTGCAAGTAGCCATATCTGTGTGGAGAAACATCAAATCCAATCCGTCATTGATCTGATATACCGCTCATGAATCCGCTCGGTGGTGGCAATCTGGTACAACACAATACAAACCAGCTTAAAGTAAAGGCGCCTTGCTGTCCACCCGCGTCTTGACTCTGACGTGGAAGTCCACCGGTCTCAAGTTGAACCACCCGTCCTGTTTCAACTCATACGAAGGATCCGCCATAGTGAAGTCCACCTCCTTGATCAACTTGGCCACCACAACCATGTTCCACAACCACGCATAGTGCTTACCAATGCACTCTCGCTTTCCATTACCATAGGACCTTCTTACACTCAAAGGCAGCTGCTCATACTTGTCACCCATCATACGCTCAGGCTTGAAAGCCAATGGGTCTTCAAAGACCGAAGGATCCCGGTTCACACCCGCGAGAACGACGATCATGGGCTGGTTGTAGGCGATCTGATACTGGCCTCCTGCGAGGAACACGGGGCTCTTGTCACCGTCCTTAGGGATGGGCTCAATGTTGAACCCTGGGGCGGCGAAAGAAAGCCGCAGAGACTCGCGGACGATGCCCTCGATATATTTGAGCTGCGAGAGGTGCGCAAAGGTCAACTCACCGTCACCGACAACACGATTGAGCTCATTGCGCGCGATAGTGATGACATTAGGGTTCTTCAGCAGGAAGTAGATGGCAGTGCTGACCATGCCTGGCGCCGTGCTGCTGCCGATGGGCATGGAGACTATTTCGTCAATGACTTGGGTGTGAGTCAAAGCCTTCTCCGACTCGGAGTCCACTGTGCTAAGAAGGGCAGCCAAGAGATCCTTCCTATCCGATGGATTGGATTTCCGGTATTGGACCAGATCTTCGGCGTATGCCCGCATCACTTGCTTTCCCTTCTTGAACTTGCTTCCATAAAAGAGCCAGTTGAAGAGACCAGGTCGATTAGGTCGCTGCATTGCCTCGGATGTCGAGTCCTCCATGCCTCGAAGCATCGGGTGTTCTGGTCCAGTAAGACAGTTGAGCTTCTTGCCGAAGAGTGCCAGCGTCGTAGCCTCGAGGTTCAATCTGTTGAGCTCGCCAATGGCAGACACCTCAGCGTTGACGCCGAGGCCCTTCCACTTCTCGAGAAGCTCGTTTGTCGTGCTGAGCATGTCCGTAAAACGCTCCGCCACGGACGCTGCCGTCAATTTGGGGGCGATGATGCGGTGGGCGATGCCCCAGTTTTCCTCGTGGTCGTAGGCTGTGAACAGAGCATCGTGGACTGCGTATCGGATCTCGACGATGGGACCGCCGACGTACTTGCGGAATCGTTTCTCGTCGCAAAGTTCCTCTACAAGCGCGGCACCAGCAACGAAGACGATTGTTCTGTTGAGGACTTTGATTTGGAAGATCTCGCCGTACGTCTCGGACAGCTTCTTGAGAGACGCCCAGGTGTTCTTGGTGTCGATGTTCTTGATGTTGCCCAAAATAGGCACCCCTGGTGGTCGTGGAATCGGGGTCGCCATCGTGTGAAATATGAGGACAGTGATCTGGATGGAAGACTAGGATGGAATTTGGAGAAAGCGGTAGCTAGCTGGGACAGCAAACCGGTCCAAAAGAAAAAAAAGCTGCCCGACCTCGAGCCTTAAAACGAAATGCCCAGCATCTCCCAAGTTCCCAGGTCTGAGATGTGGAATCCTCTTTGTTACCCCTTCGCGTCACTGGCCCAAAGCTATCTCTCGACTGTCTCACCGGGTCACGGCATCTCCCAGGCGCGACGGCCCGTATTTTGCTAACGCAACTGCTGTCATTGGGTCGACTGGCGTCGGTGTCACGGTGTTTGGCTGTTTTCGTCCAGTTCGGAGAATCATGTCTCACAAGGTCAGACACTACGCTGAACGAATGCTGATTGCGCCTCGCCGTTACACCTCTGCGGGGAGTCTGCATTGTGTCATGCTCGTCATCACATGAATATCGCCAAAATCTAGGTTTGACGGTGGATGTAGACAGAACATCGTCGTGCAAGTAGGCAGGTAGTCGGAACTCTTCTGCAGGTCGCGTGGGTGCGGTCCGGTTAAGTGTTGTTGTGAAAACGCCCAGCAAACTCCGGGCCCGCATCGGTGTCTCTGATCTTTTGAACTTGAAACTATGCGAAATATCACCAGATGGGGAAGCAATTCCGGAGATCTGCAAAATGATTCTCCCTGGCTGATAATCGAGCAAGACATGTATTAGTTGGCCAGACATTAAGCTTATTATCATTGGTTCGGTATCGCTATGCATGTGTACCGCGTTGTCTGTGTACCATCGTAATTTCTCTAATCTGATTAAATACTTCCTACTTTCGACGACACCGACCATGCATGCCTTGTGTATAACATGACATTGTGAGGGCAAAGTCACCCTATTGCCGATCTTGCTGGTAGTATTCATGAACGTCAACTCGATGCTTGCTCGCAATGCAATGGAAAGCTACTTACTCCACATGATACCCATATTCATTTTACCTCGATGGTCGACTATAACGTTCGCCGATGGCTGGCTTACCTTAGTTAGATAGACACCTCGTCAGATGTTGAAGGTGAGTCAATATGGTATCAAAACCTGACTGAAAACTACATGATATGGTACACATCCACTACACTCCGTCGTAATGGCCAAAAATGAAGATGCGACCAGTGTGGATTGAACACACGACCTTCAGATTGATTGAGTGAAGTTTTCGATGGGTCTTGTTGACCCATACTTCAGTCTGACGCTCTCCCAACTGAGCTATGTTCGCCGCTCATCTTCGAGCCCACCTACCGTTCGATGGATTCATGTTCGCCATCGGCAATTGTTCGACAATACGCAACGGAATTATAATATCACGTTCATCACGGATCAATTCGGTATTGTTACCTGGATTTGGGCGCAATGTATTCTTCACTCACGTCTTTGATAGTGGCCTCGGCCCGGGTCCTTGATAGCTTCGATCTCAAGATAATTGAGTCCGGAGCACGGCTTCTAAGAGACAATTAGAAACAAACACACTGTGAAGTATAGTTGAAAGTTTCTAGCAGTTGAAAGGAGCATTGATGGAACGACAAGTTCGATTTTTGGAAACCCTGTTCAAAGTACATACATAGTACGTGAAGGCGTGCCCCTTGTTTCCTGACTTTCTGGCACAGAACCAAGCCTCAAATTTTACTGATCAAGTCCGAGCCATGAATCCAACGCACCCAATTTTCTGGTAGCTCTTGGACCGCCATTGTGTCCTGAGCACATAAGAAAGAGTCGACAATTTCGGCAAACCCCTCTGGATATTGCCAGTGTGGAGCATGGCCAGCATCCGGAAACTCATAAACACTGACAGCAGCATTATACATTCGTCTCGCCATAGCTTGGCATGTTTGTCTTTCGAAGACATAGTCATGAGATCCTGGTTTTTCCATAGGCAATCAGTACTCACTTCTCTAAGGTTTCAACTCTGCTTACTGTCAGTCAAGATCCATGATGTGCACTAACCTCTGATTATCAGAACCGGAATTCTCAGTTCGTCGAATCGCCCGAAAGAGCCTTCTGATGAGTGTTTTGGATTCATAAACTTAGCAAACGCCTGTACTTGACGTCGGGTGCTATCGGCACAATCAAATCGGACCAATCATCTCTGGCCGCAAGCATTCTCCGAAACGTCGCTCTCCCCGCTGCTTGACTGGCATCTGAAGAGTGAAAACAAAATTTCAGCAGCGCAGCTTCCTGAGACTCATGTTCATGTGCCATACGGATACCCTGAAAGGGTGCGGGCGGCGGGAGTATGACTCCTGGTCCAATACTTGGAAGGGATCCAATGAGGATCAGACGGCGAACCAAAGCTGGATAATTCAAAGCCAGCATCTGAGCCGCGCATCCACCCATCGAAAAGGCTAAGACATCCACTTGATTAAATCCGAGTTGTACGATGAGTTCTGCGCAATAATCCGCCCAGCCTGCGTAAGATGTAGGCACTTGTCCTTCGGATCTGCCGACACCAGCGTTATCAAAGAGAATGACTGGCCGCTTCTCGGCTATCTTATTCATAGAAACCGGATCTATCTGGCTCATTGTAGCCCTGGTTGGTGTGAGACTACACTCTTCACCTGGATGCTGGCTGATGTGGACTGACCTGAATGATACGAGATGAATCACCGGAATCCCATCGTTCGGTCCCAACCAACGATACGCCATCTTCAAGCCCTTGACCAAGATTGACTGATTAGGAGCATTTCCGTATTGTGCCATATTTAAGCCGATAAATCCTGATGCTACGATCTTCAGAAAAAATAGCACATGTAGTTTAGCTAGACTCAACGTACTTGCCAGATTCTTGCCTAGCTTTATATCTTCACTTCTTGGTTCACTTCACGCAAGCACATGGGCTCGGTAACCCCAAATGTTGATCTCAATGGCAAGCACCACATCGCATGGGAAAACATCACCCAAGAGAAGCTGCAAGGCAATATTTGCCGGCACCAGAAGAGAACATCTCCTGCATTCCAAGAAAACCGACGGCTTGCCGCTACTCGAACCTTATCCCTCAGTATGTTCCCTCGCACGTCCAGAAATGCGCTGCACATGGCTTCAATGATTGGGGTGGACGGACGTACGACTACTGCAGTCAACAGGTGACTTTGCAGATGTGCGATAACCATGGGTAGATCAATGGAAAGTCAGTCAACTTTCCTCCCCAACAGTAGCCAATAACAAGACAAGTTAAAGACATTAGTACACTTAAGGAGCAAGTGCAGCTAAGGAAGCGATACCTGCATAAAGAAGAATGGGAATGACGTTCCTGTAGCAAGTTCCCCAGTGCCGCCCGTCCCACCCCACGAGAGAAGTCTCCAGCACGTTCACCGGCCGAAAGCTGTGAAGGTCCGCAACTATCTGCACTCATACTTTCACCGGCGCCGAAGCCAATCCGTGCTTTCAACGCGGCAATTCTTTACGAACGGTCGGGATAGAACCTCGCTCCGAACACCCAGAAGCGAGTCATTGAATAACCTGATGCAGCAAAGTCATCACTCGCAGAACCATGTGGACACCTTCGGTGAATGATGGGATGGCGGCTCCTGCCAAGGCGCAAGCCAGGCCCTGAATGCCACGACCTGGTCGCCGAACTTGCCGTAGAGGCTTAGCTCGACCACTAACGTCCACTAGCATACACGTTAAGCCTATCTGTTCAGGAAAGCCCAGTCACGCGTTTATCCGAGAACGGAAATCCATAGTCGTGCTTTTTCCCAGCTTCGTCAGCAGGTGGTTTCACGCTCGAGAGGCGGGAAGAAGCTCGCCGGTTGCGGTTATAGAACATGGAAGAACACTGCCTTTTGAGACATCGGAGGGTCGGAAGGTCGGAGCTCAAGGAATCATGAATTACGAGGACCCCGAGCAACACGAAGTGTTTGATTATCTTGACGAGTGCGACTGGATATACTCCAGATGGGAAGTGACGTCGAAAAATGGACCGCTAAGAATCCAACCACACCTACCCCAATGATCTTCAACAGGCATTTCAGAGCTGTAATCAGATTATCGTGATGTGGCCGGAACATCCCATATGAACATTGCATCGTGAGTCGTGACATACGACTTCGTTCCTTTGCTTCTCTTCCATGTCGTACTTGGGCACCTACCGATGCGTTTCGCTTCCTACATCCTACATCCTGCATCACACTGCAGAGAGGTACATGTAAGCAATGTTATAGAACTTAGTCGAGCACGCGTTTTCGGATCAATCGGAAGTTACATGGGAGATATCCGTAGTTGACTTTCGATCCAAATTGACTGCCCACTTGATTTCGACGCGTTTATTGAAGCATACCTATTCTGCCCATTGCTTGCTTTGAGTCATTCTTGGATTTCATTCAGCAACCACCAGACTAAGAACGGCAAGATCTGTTGTTGAAGCTATTAATCGCCTTGAACAGAGTTTATTAGCCCCCGAAGCATCTGCGTGGAGGCGATTCTGTAACGTTCAGCTACATTCCCAAAGGCAAAATCGATTCGTCTGACTTCAGTCGTACGGAAGTAGAAGTAACGATGTACAATTGCTACGTGACTTGTTGCAGTTCGGATATCATAGCCACTTCCACAAGATCTTGTAACCGACAAATCAAGACAAGGCAGAATTACCCTGAAATGGAAAGTTGGTCAGGAAGCACTCTTTCCATAAAGACGGTATGGTTGCAATGAATTGAAGCTCCTCTAATCGCAGAGGACATCGGATAACATGGGTTTCGTTCGTTCTACATTATTTCGCGCTCAAACACTTTCAATATGAAGCCAACAGACTATCCCGACATACAGGATCTTCGAAAAGCTATAACACCGGGCTGTTTTCTTCCCTGTCCGCAGACCTCTCTCTACTACATCTCCAGAGACATCGTGGCGTCAGCAGTACTAGTTTACTTCGCCTTGAACTACATCAGAGAAGATCAACTCGGGCAGACTCTGTCCTTCATAGCTTGGGGAGCATACTCATTCCTCCAAGGACTTATCTGTACTGGGATCTGGGTACTGGCTCACGAGTGCGGTCATGGGTCACTCTTTGTCTCGACAAAGCTGAACGACGGAATTGGATCTGTACTTCATTCCTTTCTGATGGTACCGTACTTTTCCTGGAAGTCCACTCACCGGCGCCATCATCGGTTTACCGGGCACGCAACTCGGGATGTCGCCTTCGTGCCAGCCATGAAACCAGTCGATTCTGATGGAGACATATTCTCTCCTTCGGGGTTCATGGAAGATTCCGATGTTCCAGTCGTTCAAGCAATCTCGTTGCTAGGACAGCAGCTATTCGGTTGGCCTCTACATGCTTTCTTCAATCTGTCTGCTGGTAAAGACAGTCTCCTGCGAGATGTTTCTGGAACCGAGCGTTGGCTGAGAGTCAGTCTCTTTGACCCTTGGAGCTCTGTTGTTAGGGATAACGAAGCATGGAGCGTGTTGGCCTCTGACTGCGGTCTTGACATCATGCGTTGCTTTCTGGGCTGGTGTGGCTAGGAATTTGGGTCAAAAACCATGGTTCTGGTATACCTTCTACCCTATCTATGGGTCAAGACTTCGGATTTGTCGGGAGGCACTTCTTTCATCTAATCATAGACAGACATGTGGCCCATCACCTATTTCCGTAAGTTGCTCCTCGGAAACTAACTTCATGGAGAAATATTCAATCAAAGTGTATGTGCTAACCTCATCGAATTATAGAAGAATACCATTCTACAAGACTGATGCAGCCACAACTGCTATCAAGTCACTATTGGGGGGCTTATACCATTACGAAGGCAGGAGTTTTCTGGGTCAGCTATGGTATCAGTCTTGCACACTGAAGTATATAGAAAACGACCCCGATCGTCCCGGCTATACCCGATGGACGTTGTAAGTGGAGAATTTGGCGTTGGCATTTGGTGATGTGGGATTTGCATTTGATGGAGGCAGCCACATCAGTTTAGATTTGAGAAATAGCATTGAGCATTGAGCAATTGCATGCAAGCTTCCTGGAACGCCTGTCACCCGTGCCGAAACTATTTGCATGATATGTAAGACATTTTATCCCCGACACCTTCCAAGTTCCGACTTCGCTAAGCCCCAGTTCTTATCTTACTTGGGCAGGTCCGAAGTTGAGCTCGCGTGAGATGGCTTGTGTTTGGGCTGCCACATCTCAGAATCTCCGATCTTGTCGACAGTGATACCAGCTCGCCCGGCAGGGTTCAAGCCAGCCTCCAATTGCCTCTTATAGGAAACGTTTCGCAGCCTCTCGGCTTCAGCTGGGGTGAGCTTCAACTGCATACAGGTTCAGTCAGTGACTGTTGCGGACCTGAACACATTGAATTGGGCTAGAACTTACGTATATCTCGATACCAATTGCATGCAAGGCAAGTGCTAGCCAGAGTGCCATACCGAACGGCATGCCCGCCGCTGCACCGGCTTCAGCAGCCGATGTAGGGCTAATGATGTTCGCGTGGACGATTGTTTGCTGAGCAGGGTTCTCTCCAGAGAAATAGGATGCACAAGCGGGATAGAGCTCAAGAGTTCGGTTCATGTTGTCAACCATAAAAGCCACTTGATCGCAAGGACGCGCCGTGTAGTATGTTCCGATGCTGCTGATTACAGCCGCGGCCGAGAACTGAATAAGGCGAAGACTAATAATGGAGCCAGCCTAGTTGCGGTATCAAATTAGGTTTTTATCTTCAATGAGATGTAGACAAATGTTGGGGTAAGCTTACGTAGAACCAAGCTCGTAGCATCCAAGCCCGGTGCTGCTCGATCTGAAGTCGCTTGATGTTGACGAATGCCAGCGTGAGCGCAGTGACGAACGCAATCGCCATAACACCAACACCAACTTGGGTGTCCAACGTGCCTCCAAAGGCATTCCTCGCAATCATCAAGGCGCCAGCAATCCCAACAAGTCCGAGAAGAATAACGACATAGCCGTTGATACGATGGAAGAGAAGGACTTTGTGACGAAGTACAGGCACGAATTGGAAACATGCCAAAAAGCTGGCGGGCAAGATTCCAGCTAGGTGGATGATGAGACCGGCTTTTTCATGGCCTTTCTGGTAGTTGAAACATTCTCCTGGCGCCGCTCCACTGCAGAAGGTGTCGAAGTTGAGGTACTGAAATCGTGCGAGGGTAAACCCCATGAGTGCACCGAAGAAGATGAAGAAAAGGACGAAGTTATAGCCCTTGGAGAATCCTAGGGGGTTGTAGACCTTTCGCGTTGCGGCGACGAAGCCATTGGCTGGCGGGCGAGTTGGCTGAACCATGGTGACTCGAATAATGTGATCTCGGACGTTGATATGGCTGGTGTCGAGAAGATATTGCGAAGTCGCACGATCTTTTAATTGGGTTGAATTATGAATAGGTGTCTGGTATTTGAAAATTGTATTAATGAGTATTCTTATCCTCTCCCATTCTCGTTCATTGCCAGCAGAGGTTTCCATCTCTTATAACTTGTAATTTGCACATTCCGTTGTCCTCTCATCGCGATCTCATTCTGATGGAGACAACTGCTAACGCACTCTTGGAGTCGACATGACCAGGATCGACACGCACTTCTCTGCAAGGTCTGAGAGGCGCATGGACGATTTGGGAAAGAGAATGCGCGACTGCTTAGCACACGGGGGCTGCCGTGTCTCGTTAATTCAAAGTTTGAAGTTGAATTCAACCGCCAAAACGCCATCTTGGCGTCGAAAGTTGACCCTTAGCTCTGACCGCCAAAGAGATCTCTCGATCTCGCCCAACATCCTACAGACTCACAGTCCACAGCGCGCACAATGGTTCCCAAACGGGGTTAGTTCCGTTCTGCTTTCACAGCCGTTTGAGTGGATTCACGTAAGCATGCGGGCGTTGAATACGACTGGGCTTAGCCCAATCCTTCGCCCCAAATGTTTAAGCAGCGGCGCATCCTTCCCCCGTGTCTTGGAAGAGAATGTAGTCGTCATTGAGACTGGAGGTGAATGCTGGTTTGATTATTCCGCGAGCTTCGTCATTCGCTCTAGCCTCTCACTACCTAATCTCTCAGTTGCTCAGCCATGGGAAGTCTGACGCATCCCATACCCAAGATCTTGGCGTCTGTCCGCGCGCACTGTAGGGCGAAGGCTACATACAATCTTACCGATTGCTCGCGCCGCGCACTCGGTACTTTTTCGATTGAACTGCTGGCCCGAGAAGGACTTTAAAATTCCTCCGTAGTCATAAACGGGCCACATCCCGCGCCGTCACCATGCCTTTTTGAGAAGCATCTCGCGCCGCGAACCCACATCACCCTCCCCGACACCGTTGATACTTTCCTCGACATGGTCGGAGTTCCCGGACGCTCCAAAGGTTGCAACACGTGTAGGAAGCGTAAGAAAGGCGTAAGTCTGTCAAGATGGGATGATCAATTCGTCTGTTATAACCACGACGCGTCCCGCTGCTGACAGAACTGCTGCCAGTGCGACCTACAACGACCTTCATGCGGGCAGTGCATAAAGGCAGGCTTAGAATGTGCAGGCTACGAAAGGAAACGCATCTTCGTCAATGTGACCAAGCCGCCGACGGGCAAAGACTTCAAGGTGACGGCTCTGGTGCCAGTCACACCCGCCCTTGTTCAGACGCACTCATTATCCCAGTCTGCCTTTGAGGAGCGGATCCTCGAGCTCTTCTGGGATGGCTATATGCCTGATGCTCCGATATGCAGTCCCAGGAGTCCCATCATGAGGTATTCCAACGCAGACTGGGCGACAACCGTGCGAGATCTCTACCGCACCGACGCCGCCTTGCGTCTGAGCTTACTGGCACTCAGCTTGGGCACCATAGGTCGTCGCGACAAGCAGCAGTGGATGATAGACGATGGTCTCAAGTTTTATTGCAATGCCTTGACTGAGATGAATGTTGCCTTACGGCATCCCAAAAGATGGAAGTCAGATGCCTTGATGGTGACTTCAAGAATCCTGGGCTTCTATGAGGTGAGCAAGTAGTCTTCGCCCGAGAACAACATTGAGGCTTACTAACTCCCCCCCGAAAGTTGCTCTATGGGGCAGACGATCGAGAGCGACATGGTATCTCTCAAGCTGAAAGTTGGGAGGGGCATTCTTTAGGCGAACTCGCCCTCATCATGCAGCGGACTCCAGAGGCACATATCGACGGCCATGGCCACGACCTGTACGCTTCTGGTCGACTTCATCTGGTCAGTTGAAACCTGCCCTTCCACATGCATCAAATCCTCTCTACTTGAGTCATGCTGATAATAAAATGCAGGTCATATCTCACGTCAAGCGCAGACGACGGTTTCCGTTAAGCCACCCGGCCTGGAAGACGGTTCCGTGGCAGAATGTCCCTAAGACCCCAAAGGATATCTTGATCGACGTATTTGTTGACATACCTGGACTTCTGGAAGACCTGGACCACATGAACAGCTGCAAAGACTTAGAGGAGAAAGAATTAAGGCGCCTTGCTCTGATCAAAGAGTGTTGGCGAGTGGACGAAGAGCTCAATTGGTGGCTCGATAATTTGAGCCCCAAAAAAGAACTTGAAGAACTCGCGACTCGTGGCTCAAATAGTCCGACAGCCTGCGACGTCGCTGTTGCATCGATCATTACGTTATACTGGACTATTTGTATTCTCACCTACAGCACTCTTCGCCTTGCAATCGGCACAAAGTCACCGGAGTTGCCCGAACGAACGGACCCCCGCCTCTATTGCACCAAGATAGCCAACATTGTCGACGTCTTCTTCCATCCATCTGCGGGAACCTTTGGAATACAATCAGCGCCGTTGCCAATCGGCATGGCTCTGGTATACCTTAACTCGTACGAAGAAGGGTTCAACTCAGAAACCAAGTTCAAGCTTGTAAGCTTTTTTGGACGGACCGCAAACAACGGCATCAGTATTGGGAAGTTCTTGATGAGCACCCAGAGAGATGGGCTCAAGCCCAAGACCAGCGTCGAACTGTCACCCGAAGGTATCAAGGCAAAAGCGAAAAGCTGGTTGGGCGTTGTACCCCGAGAGGGCCCAGTCTGCCAGCCATTGCGATCTGCTTCAAGCCAGGCACTAGCCTGTCAGTGAAGCTCCCTGTGGTTTCGAGGCAGATCTAGCGATGCAAGAGTAACACAAATCTTCCTCTGCGGGGATAGTTATGACGGGAATGAATATTTTTACGCAATCCTTGACTAGCTCACCGAGACGAGGGCTTCGTGACTCCACACATTAACCACCTGGCTCCATAATGCGCAAAATTCTCCCCGACACCCATCGAATTGGCACAACATCGCCATCAACCTCATCAGCCCTGGTGGTCTAGCGGTATGATTCTTCCTTAGGGTTATTGAGCGATCAAACACCATCATGGAAGAGGCCCCAGGTTCGAATCCTGGCCAGGGCCGCGATACCTTTTGTCTCCTCCAGGAGGATATCCTTGTCTATATACTGAATGTCCCAACTTCGCTTTTTTTGTGTTGTTTCTGGCCACCTCGTTCTTCCACTGATGTAACTCAACTTCTTTCTCTGAGGCGCAGCCGAGGGGCTCTGGATAGCTACATGTAGTAGTTGCTCGAAGTTAGGAAGCTGGATGTTATGGATGGAAGAGTATGGAAACACGCAATCACCAGCATGATGGACTATGCCCGTTTCTTCTTTTTCAGCAGTTAAAAAGGTTTAGTTATGTATTTGAAGGCTTGATGAGAGTAGGTCATTTAATGGCTCTTCAACCACGACTTTTGTATTACGCCTTGCTGATCTAGGGCTCAATCCCTCGTCCGGACTCAGGTGGGCAACCCAGTGAATCCTAGGTTTCATATCAGGCCACGTGAAAGTGATACCTCATTCTCTCATGGGCTGCTACTGCCACTCAAGAAGCCCGGCCAGGTACCCAATTGAGCCGGTTTCCGATTTCACCTTACCCAAAACTCGCCAGTAAGGCACAAACAACCAGTCACGCCTATACCATATTGGTCGGCTTGCATTATATATCAAAGTCGGGCAATTATGGAAGCTCCCGTGCATTATTTCTCCTATTGGCTATAATAGAACTTGGAAGCATGACGAACACGACTTTGAGTTGTGCTGGGGGAGGCAATCCCCTAGGTGAGGCACAGCCGTTGGACTGGCCCGATCCGGTTCCGGATCCGACGCTGTCCTGCAGGTGAACGACGAACTAGACTGCATTGAGGTATCGTAACCCCACCATAGCTGTTGTTGCCAAGATGATGGGCAAAGCCGGGCTAAACTGAACCTCCGCAAATATGCAGTCACTCAACATCGTCAGGTTTCGCTTCTTTGAAGGCTCCTAGCGATTGGTGTGCTCGGGTTCGGGCAAAGGCTGTGCAGAGCTCGGCGGTATAGTTCGTGAAGATGAATCCTCAACACAACATTGCTTAGATTGAACTCTCGATGAGTTGGGTTTCCTTCGATTCACCGACATCGTCAGGACGTCATGACTTTCTAAACGAGAGACTGGATACAGAAGACATTACAACTATACAGAGACCCGTGCGGCGCAGACTTAAGTCAAATCGTGATATAAGACAAGATGCTACGAACTGCTGGGCTGGAATGAATGTAAATCAACAGCCACAACACATTGACTGAACACCATCGCATCACGAGCTTCGACCTTGAACTATCACGCTTCTCAGTATCCACTGCTTCTTCACATTTGCGAATAACTTCACCATGCGCCTTTCAATCCTTTCCGCTTTCCTCATGGCTGGTGTCTCAATGGCCCAGGGAGACATCGCTGCGCTCCTCGCCTCTCAGCCCGATCTCAGCACGCTGCTGGAACTCGTCAGTCTCGTACCTGGACTTGCAGATACTCTCGCCTCATCCTCCAATATCACAATCGTGGCTCCCACGAACCAAGCGTTTGCCAACGTGCCCCGCGATGTCCCTGAAGGCGAAGCCATCGAGTACCGCAACAACACCATTGCCATCGGGGCGCTCCTTGCAAACCACGTATTCAAAGGGGTGTATCCGTCCAACGTGATCACCGATGTTCCAACCTTCGCTCAGACCTTGCTCGATATCTCATACATCGACTACAGACAGCCTTTCTCCAACTTCACTGGCGGTGCATACAACGGACTTGTGAAGAATGGAGAGGATGTTTGTATCTTGTCTGGAGAGCAGACCATTTCTACTGTCACTCAGGCTGTTCGTACCCATTTGATGCCAAAGTTCGAGCGACCAGTGTACTAACATAAAAGACAGGATATCAAACTTGGAGAGGGTATCACGATCCACAAAATCGACACTGTCCTCTCATTCGGCGCTCCCTTCCAGCTCTTCACCTTCCGAGCGGGCTACCTCGCCATGAACGCGGCGTTGGAAGCCGCGCACCTGAACTTCGCATTCGGTGAGACTGGAGCCGACGAGCAGGGCCTGAACATCTCTGACTACACCATCTTTGTGCCTACCGACGAGGCCTTCAAGTCAATTGGCTCTGTGCTTGAGACCGCTAGCCTTGAGACGCTTCAGGAGGTTCTTCGCTACCACATCATTCCCAACAATGTCATCTTCTCCCCGTCCCTGGGCAATGTCACCGTTCCATCCCTTCAAGGAACCAACCTCACTTTCACGGTTTTGCCCGATGGTTCAGCCTGGGTCAACAACGCAAGAATCACCTTCCCCAACACAATTCTGTTCAACGGTGTCGCCCACGTCATTGATAGGTCAGTCAAATACCATCAGCATAGCAAGTGAATATAAAGCTAACTTTCTGCTAGTGTTTTGAGCCCTGGAAACTTCGACAGGTCTTCCCTGAAGCCGGCATCCCCGGCATCTGAGCGAGTTGCCTTCTCCGGGGCATCCTCAGTTTCAAGCCTGCCCTTCACAAGTGTCTCCTTCGCGACGGACATGATGGCCTTCACAGCGACACCCAGTCTGCTTAAGACAGTTGCTGCCGTCGCTACTGCTACCGCTACGGGTGCGGCCAATGCCACCGCCACCGCCACGACTTCTGGCAGGCCCACTACGGTGCCAACCAACAGTGGTAGCAACTTGTTCCCCGGCATGATCTTGGCCCTTTCTGTCGCTATCGGATTTGCCGCATTCCTCATTTAAACCTCTCTGGATCTAATCAAACCGGCATGGAAAGGCTGGAAGAGGGAGGAGGCTTCGTGAAGGAAGCAAATCCATAGTTCCCAACTCAGCGCTTCTCGAATGATTCCAAGGTAAACAGATATCGCGAGGATTCTACGCTCCCATAGACAATTGACTTTGCTACATACTTATTTACATGTTCATTGAGTGCCTTTCAAGCCAAATGATTCAATGGGGTATCATTTCCGCAATATGAATGGGCGGGCGTCGGCAATCCCAGCACTTGGGCCTGCAAACATAACTCGACACGTAGCTGATCAAAGTAATCGTTCATGTAGTCAGATATTGATGTGAAAGACACAATAGCAACCAAAAATCAGGCTGAAAGATTATAGATAGGGAAATGTGTCGCTATACCAACAGACTTTGAGTGAGTCCTAGGTCACTAGACGCTTTTTAAGCAAGTATGTTACAGACAAATATTGAGTAGTAAAGCAATTTATGGTTAATTTATTATGACTCCCGTATATTCTGGGTATCATCTCACAACAGTAAGTTCCAAGATAGTCGCGTTTGGCAGACTTAGTTCAGCTAGGCGTTAAGTACACCGTCGGCCAGACAGGGCCTGATCTTTGCTTGAACCAATGGTCCATTTCAGCATATGAGTGCTTGAAAGTTTTGCTAGAGAGAAAATCAACATTCACTAGTATGGCAACGTTTAAATAAAGACCCATCTCCAATTATGTAGTATTCACCAAAACCTCGGCAAGCCTACGGTACATGGGCACATGCACGTTGATTAGACGGGGGAAGGCTCCGTGCATGCTCCGTACACCCCCATTCAGTCTCTCGCAGGAAGCTCGCAGCGAGCTCGTAGCAAGCACCAGACGAGACGCGGGCAGCGGCAACGTGCCACGGGATTCCAGGATGGGCTGATGGTTTGATTACGGTGGTTCGGTAACCACAACATGCGATTTATCCTCCACCGTGGGCCGTTGTGGTCCGTGATTCCGTGTGGGAGGAGACTTGCGAAGACCAAGACACGGCGCTAGCACCGCTGTATGAGAGCCACTTTTCCCGGCATCGTCGCGCCTAGCTGTGACGGTACTCTGAACAGAACTTGGCGCAGGAAATCCCAACTGGTGTACACCTTATGGTTGTAGGGCACTGATTTTCTGAATTTCAATGTTTTTATTCTTTTTCACAAAAGTATTTTGGGTTGTTTTACTGAGCAGAAACACATGCCCTTGTGCACAGAGGCGGGAGGAAGGAAATGGTAGCCTCTACTCCGAATATTCCGTCTCCGGAACCCGCCGTCTCTTGTACACCAACGCCAGCTGACAAAACTATTGATACAATCAAAACATGGGTATGGGGGGTATTGGTCATTGAAAACATGTGAAAAAGTCCAGACGCCAGAAAAGCCAGCCCGTTCGTTGTCGCCACCTTTCCATCAAGGGAGTAGAGTCACACGGGGTGGCCGTGTAGGTCGTTTGCTGATATAGCGCCGAAAAATTTTCGTTGGAGCCTCAAGGCTGCGAGGTTGTGGTAAAAAAGCTTGAGGTGCCTGGTGGATGAAAGCTCGGAATTCATCGGCTTGGGTGGTAGTGGTGGGGGCCATTTGCCAGCCTGGTTGATGTGGGTGCGCGTGGTGTAAGTTTTCCCCTTTTCGCTTTGGGCCTCGGAGTCTCTCTCGGTAGAACGTAGGCACCGTCGTGCTGGAAGACTTTTCGATTCATCCTTTCGACGTTGTTACTACATCTCGAGTGTTGCTCATTTAGAGGCAGGTTCGGCACTCGTGGTGGCCGCAGGACGGGCACGAGTTGCTGATGACGATCATGCTTCCGCACTTGCAGCAGGAGGGAGCGACGGGCATGTTGGCGACTTATTTGTTGGTGTTGTTGATGATGGTTTGTGAGCGTTGAGAGCTGATGTAGCTTGTTTGAGAGTTGTGTTCTTGGTCGTTAAGAGGGATGGTGATGAGCGAAGATATGAAGAAAATCAGAAAGAGAAGGAGGAGGAAAGGCTCGCACTTATAGACATTCACCTTGCCCACCTTCAACCCTCGAACCCGCACTCATTTGCGGCGGAAGTCTACCTCAACCCAGCCAACCCTCTTCGGAGCCTTGGACCCCTGGTCTGTCCGAAATGGTTGTGGTTCGGTAAGTGGTGTAAGTGGTGGTGTGCACGGCTCAGCCGGGTGTATCTAGTAGGCCGAGGAGGAGAGGCAAGGCAAAGTAAGGCAACATCGGACAACCCAAGACAGGGTAGGACAGACATTGAGCGAGCAAGCGTCACAGAGAAGGAAAAGGTAAAGTACCATGCCGGGTTCATGGTTGGTTGGACCCTGAGATGGGTTGGCCGCCGCCCGCGCAGACACACGGCTGGGGCCCAGCAAATCGGCATGCCGATCGAGTCGAGTGCGGGGTTTAGTTCAAATGTTGACAGGGCCTTATTACAACTCGAGAACTCAATAGAAGTGCGAGAAAGGGATTCATACACCGAAAGAGTGAGAAGGATGCAGTGGATAGGCCCCCCGTGTCTCCCCAGCCGCCGCCCTAGCTCAGTGCTGCGCTTGTGTCTCTCAACTCTCTCATCTTCTTCTCGCGGGCGAATGACGACCCGAGGAGACCGCACACACCCTAGCACTGATGAGATGGCCTGACGTAGGTGTAAGGAACGTGCGCTAGAACGCCAAGGGGGAATAGAATTTGGGCGAAGACGCGAAGGGGGAGAATGCGACTTCGGCGGAATTCCTGTGATTCTCTTACCCTTAGCCATCGAGTAACACTTTTGGACGTCAACCACACGTGTGCCCCCATCCAGCTTATACTTTCTACCGTCAAGAATCATCTCTCCAGCCCTTACCCTTTTACCCATTGGCAGGCTCCGGGGTTCGGCGGTTGAAACGCAGCGCTTGGAGATGCACAGAGGAAATTGTCTGTCCTAGGTTGTGGGATGGCACACACATTGACGCGACCTTCATTTACTAGCGAACTCTCTCGTTGGCTTTGCATTCTTCCATCCCCTCTTTCGCTATAATCAGGACTGCCAGTGCTGCACAAGTGAGGCATGGCACGACGCCCAACAGAGTTCTGACTGGTAGCAAGACTTGGAACTAGTGGCGTTAAAAAAGATAGCACAACTATAGAAAGCTCCAGACAGCTGCCAGCTAGCAGGCCTAGGTAGCTCTGAAGAATCCGATTTTTAGATGGAGGGTGCGAATGTGTATTTACATAGTATGCCTTATTCTGTCATCTGCATGCATGAGGCGCGGGAGATAAAAGTAGTGAGCAGAGTACTCTGCAGTTCGTCTCACAAGCTTTCTTGTAGCGCGTCTCCGGGTACACAATCCCCCCCACGTCGCTTGTGCTGCACGAAGACCTGCAGGCATCCTGACGCGGCCCAGGGTACACTACCTGTAGTCCGGTCCCGGGGCGAGGGGGGTAACGCACACATAGTAGTTGGTTGGAGCGAGACATCGTGGGCTTCCCGTTCATTGGATGACGAGGATAATTATGCGAATGCTGGGGAAATGGAAATGGACACCGAGCTAATGAAAGGCCTGCGATTACAATGTGGAGAGAAGACATGGAAGATGGAGGGGGAACTTGGAAGTTTGGGGGGGGGGGATGCTATCCGAAAAGGAGGGGGGACACCATGATGCAGCCAACAGCCGCCGGGCTACTCGGGTCGAATGCCGGCGATGGGAATCAAGAGGATGATGTGGGAGGTTCTGACTCCTCGACCGGATGCTTGAGCTTGTCAGTCACTCTGACGATCCAACTACCTGACCAGCCAGCTTCCATTCCGTCCAAGCTCGAGCTCCAAAGATGAACAAAAATCTCGTTGATCTTGGCATGCCAACGAGGACGATCATCTCTTGCCCAACCGCCTTCCCGCCCCTTGAGGGCCTTGACGGTATGCTATGTCAAATGCCTCTCTGCTACCCCGCAAGATGAGCGAGATCGACTCAAGTGAGATCTGTCGAAGCGAAACGGTCAGACTTGACGCTCAGGGGAAGGGGGTCAAAGTGGAAAACCTGGGGCAAGAATGGCAGCCTCTGGGAGGCCAAGCAGTCGCATCACTTCCCGCGCCACCGAACCACGGACGGCAAGGTTTCTCGATGATCTGGGGTAGCTCTGCTTCAGCCTTCAGAAGCGGGCGCTGAGTTTTGGCGAAGGTTCCAACAAGCAAACGCCACACTGCATGACACGGGAAAAGGGGGTGTGTAGCAATACAACAACGGAGCCTAACTCGCAATCAATCCGGGGAAGAATAAGACGGGCGAAAAATACCAAAAACGGTCTTCGACAGAGCGGCAAATGAGTCCACAAAAACAAGGCTCCTTTTCAATATGAATATGACCAAATATAAGGACAAAGAGAATGGGTCTTTTCAATGCGGCCTGCGTCGGCTCACACCGAAAAGAAACCGTGGAGATGAATCGAATGACAGACAGCCCACGACTCAAGCTCGACAAAACGCTGGTCAGGAGCCCCATCCGGCGATGTCCGTCATACGGGTCTTTTCTCAGATCTGCTCCTCCGTTGTCAAACGTCCTAAACCCCGTTCAAGCATGAGAATGAGGCATTCTCGCGGTGCTGGAGACCCAATCCCCTCCAAAAACTGGCGGGTGCCAAGCGAATCAAAGACACTCGGTCGTCATTGCGTTGTATTGCGCCGATATTTTCCTTCTTTCAACGGCGGTCTGTTTTCGTGCTTCACTTCCTCCCCGCTATCGGATGAGTTGAATCTCCTGCACGCATGCCCAAGTTGGATATTCTTTTCATTTTCTCTCGTGTGTTTGAGTTCATTCTGGGTCAAGGGACTTCTTGGCGCCAGGCGTGTGTCGTAGCACAGCCCAATGACGATGCCAAAGCGCGTCCAGACATGGTTGGGTGGGCAAGTGTCTCAACTGGATACTACGTCTTCTTTCTCATCTTCTATGCATGCCATCCTCACAGCGGATATCTTCTATTGCTACCATGTTTCTACGTCAGAAGAATTAATAAACATTACACACGCTTGAGGTTAGGAACCAGCGGCGGTCCTGCGTATGTGCCCTGAATATGCCATTGAACCAGCACTAACTTTAGACCCCTCAAGTTGTTGGTGACCCATCGCCGAAAGTGACCAAGCGCCGCGCTGAACACGGTCTACCGGCCCAGCTCTCACCTTGCTTCCTTTATACCTAGGCATATCCCCCCCCTTTCTCCAGAGACTTGAGCCCTCTCCCCCAAGTTTAGCTATGACGCAAATGGTTCTGCTAAAAAGTTGAACGCACGTTAAACTCTAAAAACGGCGCGACAGGGACCCTTGTGGGGACAGAGTTGCCCTCGCAGACTGCCAGAACAGCGGCCATCCCCGTCTTAGAACAATGCAACGCACCAGAGACGCTCTGCTGGATCCAGCTGCTGTGCGGCGCAGTCATTATTAGTGGGAGGCAGTTGGAGCGAATCGTTCTCTTTTGATGCAAGGCATAACCCGTCGTTGCGTCGTCCATCCTAGCAAAAAGGGGACAGGAGACTGGGAACCCCTCATGTGGCAACGGGACGCTGTGTCGCAGCGTTCGAAAATGCCAGATCTTCTGAGACGGTCAAGATTCAACGCCGGACGAGACCTCACCACCTTTTTCGATTTTTCGGCTTCCTGCAGAGGGTCAAGATGGCCTTTCCAACGTCTGTGAGCCGGATTGAGTTGAGACCATGAGGATAAGCTGAAGCCTGAAAGAGGCCCTGCGTTGGCCATGTGCGTCTGACAAGAGCGGCGTCTGAGTCACTCGCCTGTAAGCACCACAGCCTACGTCTACGGGCAACTGGAATAAGCTAGGCAGAATATTTCAGATCTAAGATGAATGGAATTGGAGATATGGCACAGGAAGAGGCAGGCCTCAGGGTGAAGCTGGAACTTTGGTGCATTCGGGGTGTTAAATGTCCGTTGGGGGAGAGATTGAGGGCGCTCTTTATGTGTCTCTCGTATGTTGGTCCACCTAGAATGCTCCCGGTGGGGAGTCATGGCCGAGGCCTTTGAGGGGTTCACCGACCTAGGTGAGGCGAAGCATGCCCACACCGCCCCAACTGGTAAATTACTACGACAAACAGTGTACCTCAAAGACTGGAGATAATCGGAATGCCTTGCGGAAGGCCTTGCGCCCCCGTCCGAGGGCCGGGCACCGAATGGCCGGTTCGGCCAGCTTTCGGACCTCTGACTCCCCACCTAAACTGGGAACAGCCTCTTTGTTTGAGCTGCCTATTACGTGAACGCTGCCCTTCAACACCCATAGTTTTTGAGTATGGCGATACATTTCCCCTTTTTACAGAAGGGTTACTCCCACTTAGTCTTTAGGCAGAAGCAGCTAAACTCCATCTGATATCTCCTGGAGACATATTGAGGAGAGATGGCGAAAGATATCATTGGATACCGTGTGTTCAAGCAAAAGACTATCGAACAGGCCCCTTAGTGAGGCCGAATTCATTGTCCGGCGTCAGCGTGAGTCTTACCGCATGTACGGATACCCCTCAAAGGATCCTGTCCAGTCATTCGGCAATGAGGCCAATTCTGTATTAAAGTAGACAACCTCGGGGCATATCTCACCTGGTAGATTGTGCAACTCCAAAGACCTGCATTCAATCTCGCATCTCAGCTCAATCTCGTGATTGTCACATTCGAAGTTGAATTCCAACTATCAACAAGACTTATACGATTCCACAATGGTTGTCTCTTACGCTCGAGTTTCCAAGAACCAAGTAGCTCACTGTATCTCTTAGGTCACCAAGTTTTCTCTCCAAAGTCTCTCACAGAGCACCGACAATATCGTCGTTAAAGATGACGACAATAAGTCAGAATCTTCCTTCGAAGAGCTTAAGTCCGAAGACACCAAGGCAGAATCGTCCAGGTGTGATACTCCAACGGCCACGATGACGGAGTACGATACCTCGGACGACGTCGCGTTGTCACTCCACGCCTTCGCCGGGCGAGACGGCATCCTCGCGAAAATCACTCCCCCTAAACAGCCCGTGAAGCCAACAGTTCACGTACCCTGCGACATTGTCCTGGTAATCGACGTCTCTGGCAGCATGGGCGCCAACGCCCCGATTCCGGCTAATCCTGGTGAGGTGGCGGAGAACTATGGCTTGTCGGTATTGGACTTGGTCAGACACGCCGCTCTCACCATCGTGGAGACCCTGGACGAAGGTGACAGGCTCGGTATTGTCACCTTTGCATCCCAAGTCAAGATTGTTCAGGAGTTGATTCCGATGAACAAGAAGAACAAGGGTCTTGCTAAGAAGAACATCAGGAAGATGGTACCCACGGATGCAACCAATCTGTGGAAAGGCTTGATGGAAGCTATCACCCTGTTTAACAGGGAACCAGACGGAAAGACGGAAAGGGTCCCGGCTATGATGGTACTGACGGACGGGCAGCCGAACTTGATGTGAGTCAGATACGTATCTCTCAGTATATGTCTCAAGAGTCTTTGGGGCTAACTTCCGGGAAGGTGCCCTGGCCAAGGATACGTGCCGAAGATGCGCGAAGAGGTGAAGCTACTCAAAGATGGGAGGTTACCAGCCTCGATCCACACGTTCGGGTTTGGATACAACTTGAGATCTGGCCTATTGAAGTCGATCGCTGAAGAAGGAGGCGGAAATTACGCCTTTATTCCCGATTCCGGAATGATTGTGTGTTGAGTTGCCAGTGCTCGTTGGTTGCAATAGCTAACTCAAGTGGTGATTAGGGAACCGTATTTGTCCATGCTGTCGCCAATCTACAAGCAACATACGCCATCAATGCCACGCTGCGCCTTACTTACTCACCGCTGCTCACCCTTGAAGAGGCGATGGGCGAGTCTGTGAACAAACAAGAAGTAGAGATCCGTGAAGGCGACATGGCGAACGGCATACCAGATCAGCATGAGCTCTCGATCTTACTTGGGAATCTGCAATATGGTCAGTCAAGGGACATCTACCTTCGAGTAGATGCACCGGCGGAACTCACCTCAGATCATGCGGTTATCAAGGCTTCGATTGAATATTTTCGCATGGCAAGCAACACTTATACACGAAGCACCTCACAATCACTTCTGAACCCGACAACTCTTCCCGAATCTGAGCTCGTCTACCACCTCTCTCGCTCCAAGATTTGTTCCTTCCTCTCAACCATCGTCCCCATGGCTGCCGACGGCGAGCACAAGGCCTTGCCCCGTATCTCACCCGAGAAGATTCAGGAGCTCAAAGCACTCATCAAAGACATCCCAGCAAAGCGCTTCCCATCCGATCCGAACAACAAGTCCTTGATCGAGGACCTCGAGGGTGCGCAGCCAAAGGGACAAGTCTCTCTAGCTTTGACGAACCGAGAGTACTACAAGAAATGGGGCGTCCACTACATACCTTCATACTTGAATTCGCACACCCGCCAAATTTGCAATACTTTCAAAGACCCTGGCCCCCTTCAGTACGGAGTCGACAGCCCTCTCTTCATCGCATGCAGGAACAAGTTGGATCACGCGTTCGACAGCATTCCTCCGCCCAAACCCTCCAACCAGCACACGGCTACCCACCGCGGACGAGTACACATGAGCTCCTACAATAGCTCCTCCGGTGTATGCTTTATTTCCTCGACACCTGTGGGCCTCGCCTCAGGCCGAACGGTTCCTATCAAGGCTCTTCGAAGAGGTGTAGCGGTGCAGACGCCGTCTGGTCCGCGCCGGGTCGTCGCTGTTCTCAAGACACCCGTTCAGAGGGAGATTATGTGTCGTGTTGGCGAGCTCGTCGTCACCCCATGGCATCCTCTATCTCTTGATGGTGGCAAGACCTGGACTTTCCCGGCAAATGTGGCGGATCGGCCTGTTAGGTATACCGGCTGCATCTACTCGGTCCTGCTTCAGCCAGGCCGGGACTCGGAGGCTCATGCGATCAACGTCGCGGGTGCCTGGGGAGTGACTCTTGGGCATGGAATAGTCACAGGACAAGACACAAGAGCCCACCAATTCTTTGGCAACTACGGAAAGGTTGTCAGAAGCCTCAGAAGAATAAGGGTCAGTAAGAAAGGCGTTGCCGTGGGCGGTGGCGTAAACAGAGACTCGGTCACAGGACTGGTATCTGGCTTCGCTCCTCACGGGAAGCCCGATGTGGCCGTCAAGGGAGTTACAAACAGCGCTGTCTGTGTGGCTTGAGAGTCTTTTCCAATTACTCTTTATGGTCTCGGGGAATGCTCGCAGAACATTGAAGCTGTGGGGTGAGTGTCAGTGACATGAAGCACGTTTAAAGTATGACCAGTCAAGTAATTAGCGTTATATCTACGAAATGCGATTTCAGGTTAATTCTGTTTCTTCGTTTTTCTATCTTTCTAGAAAGTCTAGGGTTTGCCAGATGACGAATCATGGGGAATGATAATTACGTCCAGTCTACCTATCTTGTTGACCGCCTACAACATTATCCAAGGTAAGTAAGGTAGACTCCGCTACTCAAGGCACGTGCAATGTTTAGATTGTTCCACGAGAACAAGCCTCGAATTCTGATTTCCTTAAGTAGATGTTATATCTAGCTGAGTCTCTCCAGGATAAATGAGTGGCTTCAGGAGTTGGCTGCGCATATCGACATGCATCAAAGAATATGAGGAGATGTCTTCTCCCTGTGTAGCCCCCTCACCGTACCTTCATATCGTGGCCTTCATAATTGCCGCACTCAATGCATCAACTTGATCTCCAGTAACCTTGGTTGCCGATGTCTTGAATCCCTCGTTGAACGGGAATCGCTCCTGCTCAAAGATGATGTTCATAAACTGTGTCGGGGCCATCGGAGCCTTGAAGTCACCCGCCATGACGCCCAGGATGAAAGCAGACTCGGCAAAGGAAGTCTTGACTTGAGCCTGCGTAAGGTTAAACTGGGGGTTCTCCGCCATGGCAGCGCTAATCCTGATGCTCCGGGCCTTTGCCATTGTCTTTATGTCGATCGTCGGAGCGGTGAATTGGGCCTTGACTTGGTTCCAGACCGTAGCGTCGAACTTGTTGGCGTTACCTGTAACGGCCTGATCTGCTCTAGACAAGCTTCCGTCGTGCTCGATGACGTTGTGCTTAACCATGTCCGCCAGGTTGACGGTGCTCGCGTTTCCCGTGGTCGAAGTCGTAAGAGCGGGTGTACTAAGTGACACCGTGACCTTCTCGTCGATATTGAGCGCTTTGCTGAAAGCGAACTTGAGCTGATCCATGGTAATATTCATGCCATCTCGTGGCAGGTAGCCGTGGTTGGCAAGAGCGTTAAGGACCGGGCAAGGTGATCGGCTGGCCTTGTCGGGGGCCATTTGGAATTTGAAGGACGGGTCCTCCGCTCGGGGTAGCACGGAGGCTAGGCTGCCTGTTACGGACAGGACCAGGATCAATGCCGAGCTGTACATGTTGACTTTGACTGGAGATGAAAAGTGATTGTATTTAAGCGTCAGGTATTAAATTGAACGAATGACCAGCAAAGCGTCACAAAGAATGGTTAGTACCTACCAGCACCCTGAATAAGGCTATATATCTACTGTCGCCGGTCCAGCGGAGGTGGTTCATTATCTAGGTGATCTCGAAAGTCTAGATCGCGTCGAATACTTTCTGGAGACTCATATAACGCGCCATTAAAGGCCGCCGGCAGGCCTGTATGAATCGTGCTACACCGGACGTCCAGTCGGCCGAGGGTTTAATCTGTTGTTTACTACACCAAATTGACTTTCCTCGAATTGAAACGGAATAAACTCAGCTCATACAGAAATCCAAAGAAAGTTCAGCTCAGGCCCATCTAAAACTTCACCGGTGGGATGAACTACATACAGTACCAATGGGCTGCGCCAACGACCAATAAACATCGTCTTTAAAACGATGACCGTTTTACAAACGCCAATAGATCGAATCATCGAATCATTTCGCAGAGCTACCGAGCACTTACAGCCTCCATTTACCCGGCCTCTCCCGTCTGGGCAAGTAAATCATAGCTCCCGCCGCAGCCGGGGCCTTGACGGAACCCGCGCGCCGCCTTTTACAGGTGATGGAGCACTCCACGTACGGAGCGGTCCGTAGAAAGTAAACGATAAGCTCGTTCGATCAGCCCTATAATTTGCCGAAATCTATCGAGCTGGCTTCGGAGAGAGCCTGCTGCAAGGATTCCACCTGGAATATTTCCCCATGGCATTTCCCTGGTGCTTGTTCTGAGGCGGAGCTCGCATACAGACACGCACAGTCTATCCCAAGAAAACCTTCAGACTGATCAATAACGGTTTCCCGGCTATATTGCCTCTGGCACCCAATATAATCCAACAAAGAATCATTGCATCTCTGACGAATCACTACCTTGGCATTGGTCATTGTTCAAACCCGCCGGCCGAGCCCCAAAGAGTGAAAGGGTGACAGGTTGTCGGATCATCATTTCAAACGAATAGGGAAAGGCCCTTGCTGTGACCGTGACGTAGCATTCTGTGCCCTCGTCACGAGATGAAGTCCCCTTCTTACTATTCAGAGAAACTTCGATTGGAGTCTTCGCACAGAATACCACATGGCACAATGATGAATCGGACGGTTAAGGTTCCAGAGAGGTTACACGAGAGGTATTCTTGATTGAGTGTGTCCCAAGATGAGAAATCCCACTGATCGGTTGCCAACAAAAGTGTTTGAAGCATTTCCAACCAATTGCTCTACACCTAAACTACTGAGTTCGGCAGGGTCGTGATGAGATTTTGATGATATTCTGTCTGGGCATCGCACTATTGTGCTAGATATGACTCCCTACTTGCTACTCGGAGTTCCCAAAGTCATTGCGTTTATGTTCAGCGAGAGCTTGGAGCGCATTCCTCGCAACTCCTTCAGACACCGTCTGTCTCGACTTGAAATCTTCAAAGCCCTCGAGACGACCATATACTAATTCTGCATGGGATTTTGGAATGATAAACCTCCAACAGCCTTTTGACGACAAGCAACACGCATAACACTGCCCTTTCAGACGGAATGAAACTGTGGGCGGAAATGCTACCCAGGATAGCTGTGCCTATTTGAAGCCTGATCTTGCATGGACTGATAGTATACCCGAGGTTTACTCTCGTAACAAGGAGGATTACGACTGGTTTTAAATACACTCAATGAAGATGCTCCAGCAACAGGCTTCTCTGTGATTTCATTAGGCTGTACCAGAGCAAAAGGTATCCGGATGCCATGCACTCCTTTGTCTCACAAAGATATGTCTGTCACTGAGACTCGAATTGTCGACGATAATATATCATACAGTCCTGCCAGTGAAAGCACTCATAGGACGCGTGGAGACTGTGTCCTTCTGAAAAGGTTGTGCCTCAAATTAACCAAGGACTATCAGAGTCACACCTTGCTGGTACGCCAAGCAAGTATAATCAACAGGCTTCAAATGAGGGAAACATGATATCACTTCATGTTCACATCGAGCTGTGGATCTTCGAGTTTGACTCAAGGTGATAGTGCAGCTAGCTGAGAAGTATCTAGACTCTAGGTTCCGAAGACCAAGTCGACTGCTTTCGTATCTGCCCCATCCCTCGTTCACATTGTGCTGCGAAGTACGTAACGCGCTTCGGACCGTTCTTTCGCTTCCCGTTCAGCCCCAGATCTGTCAAGCCCGGATATTATTATGGAAAAAGCCAGTCCAGAGGCATGATCAAAGAACGGCCCAAAGCAAATTCGTATCACCCATTAACCTTTCCACCCCTTTTTGCTTTCAAAGTTCCAATCCAATTCCCGCATCATCTGTGCAGCATAGGCCCTCTCAAAGAACCTCGTTGACTCTGAGATCCTGAATGCTCTTGGGGAATCCCAGAGTGCTGACAGCCGGAACAGCCGAATTGGGATTGTCGTGGAATCCAAAGTCCGCAAGGTGAACAATGAGGGTCTTGAGCTTCTTGAAGTCGCAGAAGTCCGAGGGCTTGTAGGGCTCTTCGTCCTTGCAAATCGGCCTTCCGTCAGAGAGTCGGAACCGAAGTCGAAGGTCGACGAGAGATGCGGAATACGACTTCAGGCGGTCGATTGTCTCAGCAGCAGTGACGAGGGTGATCTTGTCCTCGAACTTGGAGTTCACGACGTACTCAAACTCTTCCAGTGGAAAGACGTTGTTTGTCAATTCAGACAAGACGTCTGGTGTCATCGTGCAGTCGATCAAGGACACCTTCTTGGTGCTCCAGGTCTTTGGGAAGAAAGAGCCGCCAGCATCAGCCAGTATTAGTTCGCAGTTCCTGAGGCAAAGATCCGTGACTGTCGAGGGCATGGACAGATTGTAAAGTAGCATGCCAGAGAGCCGTAAAGGTGTCTGGGCGTCTTCTCCGTAGATAAAAAGTTTCTTCACTTGCTGTAAATGCTCTCGAACGCACAAAACGAAGTCGTTGCAGCCCTTCGTCTGAGAGATATCAGCCCTCCATCCGGACAAGGGGCGACCTTCTAAAACCCGGATAGAGAAATGCAATGTGCTCAAGTTAGGCAAATGCGCATAGAGAAGGTTTTGCAACGCGCATTCGATTTTAAAGTTGCGAAGTCCGATCTCATTGACGGTTATCTTGGCGGTTTCCCAAATCGGATCTCGAGGGATGAAAGTGAACCAAGGCAATCGATCCTTGACGGCGTTGGTGAGGAAGTCCCAGTTTTCAATGCTGCAAGGCGTGCGGTATTGCTTGTAGTCGCGCCAGTTCCTATTATCTGAGCAGTATGTTTGAGCATAAGATGTGCGTAGGCTTTGGACCTGCTGAGAGAGGGTGGGCTGAGAGACCAGGGCCCGGACCAGGGAGAAGAACTTTGCGTCGCTGCAGTTGTTCGCAACAATGAAGATCTGGCGATACAGGTAAGGTTTCGCGAGCTTGTGGAAGGCCTTTGACACTCTGCAGATGCTTAGAAGGGTGCTCTGGCATGCAATCCACTCCTTTTCGTCAAGTTCGTCATCATTGCATCGGAGTTAAGAACAGATCTGTTCAAAGACCTCTACGGGTATATCAGAGATTCCCGGCATTGTCTTGTTGTAGGCTGTTCAATCGTGAGCTTCAATCCTTTGCCTATCGGAGGTAGTAGTAGGCGCTGACAGGGAAACCATGGACAAAGTCTCTGGAAGCCGGCGACAATGTGTCCGTGGGATCACGGCGCGTAGCAGAAACTGCTGAGTGGGAGGTGAATGGTGAATGCTGTAGAGTAGAAAGCCTGACGACGGGAAAGTATGAGGGATTCCGTTCTGTTTCTGACGCGGAAAGATGTTAGCTTGGTCTGTCAGCAACATCATGAAGAAATCTTGTACCTGAAGTAGACTTCTTCCACTGTGCAGCTGCTTTCTTTTGTGGGAGGAATATCGATGGAAGACCGAAATGCCTCGATGAGTCTCCCTGGTTGGAGATGTCGAAAAGAGAAAGGAGAGACTCGATGCGGTGTGTGATAGGGAAGAAAAGAAGGCCTCTCCTTTCCTGGGGGAAGGAAGTCAACGGCAAAAACAGTGCCTTCCTTAGGAAGGAACAGGTCCGGTTACTCCTACTCCAAGATGATTTATTGGAAAAGAATTCGGAAAGGGAAAAGCACGTGATACCAGAGACTGAATGAATACAGGTGTTTGTATATTCAGGGTGTAAAGGTGAAGCCGTGACATTGGATGGTTGCCGGGACAGCAAGCTGGTCTGTCAATACGGGCTCGAGAAAGGTGTCGCTGGGTCTCTTCTGGGCGCTTGGAAAAGCACTTCCTCAAGTGACTGATTTTAAACTCCACTTAACTTACCTTCCGTGAATACGTAGGCCTTGACAATCAGTTGAGCTACTCAGAAGAGCTCGAATTTAGCTGTTAACCCGAAGATTCAGTTCGCCAACGCATCAAAGTTCGCGGCGGTGTAGGGTGTAGGATGCTACTGAGAGGCTCCATCTTTGATAGCATCGTCAGTTGTATGTGGTGTCGGATGCTGTTCAGGCGTTTAACTACGCCTCACATCCGTTCGCCCCCGCATAAAACTTCCCAAATTGCTGTCGAGGTCTTCCTGCTGGGAGTTTAAGCAATCATCTATGAACTTCTCCCGCATTTGAGTCTCTTGGATCGCCAGTTTCTAAAGTAAACACATGAACCAAAGCGGTACAACAACGGAATATAAGCTCGGAGATCGCCATGTACAGATCACGGCTGACACTCCGAGGGCATCGTGATATGATAACTTTTGAAGGCAGTTCCGGCCCTATCCCAGTTTTCTTCTGGCCAGTCTGTGGTTTCATGTCTTCATGCCCGAGTTTAGATCCCTTATCTTGTCATGTAAGCTTCAGGACAACTGCTTTGGCGAAGGGAAACTTGCAGTGCTAAACAGAACAGGATATCAAGCAGGTAAGGTATGGCTTATCAGACTCCAACCTCGAAGGGAAGGCGGTCTCAGTTGTGCCTTCCGCACGTGATGCTTCACCTTCCATCTGAATACACGAGAAGGGTTAATACCCCCCTTCAATTTCGTTCCTGTCACCAGCACAGCAGGCGCCTCCTAGGTCGGAGATCAGGTCAAGCTGTGGCGTGGTGGTGAAATGGTTAATGGTCAACAATGAATATTTACACCAACCAGCCTACTCGACGACAGGCTCAGCGCATACGAGTTTGAATCCCAGCACGAGCATCAATTAATCCCAGCATGAGCACCAAGAGATGTAGCCCCCAATTCAGCACCGGGGGGGGGGGGGGGGGGGAACTTTTTTTTTCTCTTTTTTTTTTTTTTCTAAGGCTTCTATTATGTTTGCAAATGAAATCTCGTGTCCGTGACCTTCTTTGAGAAATGATCTACTCATTGACAAACCTGCTAGCTGAAGAGGTCTTGGTTTTGTGTAAGGCGGAAATTCTATGCTGGAAGACACTGGGTTTGAGGTGTGTATAAGTCTGAAAGCTGTCTTTTGATCCGATTTCGGCGTTAAGAAATCGAACGGAGCCTCTCCTCCTCCGTGTTGCACATGGCAGAGTACAGTCTCCCAGACAAGGTGTGTGTCTGAGCCCGTTGACATGACTAAGCGGAGGGAAATATGCCAAACCAGCTCCGATGACATAAGTCACGGAGGGCAAAGTGATTCCGGTTTGAGCACATTACACCCCTGCCTGCCGAGCCATCATGCGTCCGACATCTTCAGTGACACGTTGTAAGTGATCCAGGAATATGGCGATACTTTACGTCGTTGGTCAGATGGCGTGGTGGAGCGCTCGGTTTGGAACCGGTCTTGGGTGAAGCTCCTTATCAGATCGAGACATGACGGATCTGAAGACAAGGGCATCCAGCTATAAGTAGGGCTGCTGTCTGCGAATATACTTCAGTCACTCCCCAAACCAGACCAGTAAATCCACTCAAATAGTCGCGGAAATGGCCAAACTCTCTGCTGCTTGGGTTCGACTTGCTTCGAACGACCGTCTCAGGCGTTCATCGCAAGCAGTTTCGGTAATCGGGACTCAAGTGTTCGTCTTCGGCGGTGAACTCCTCCCACGAGAGCCCGTAGACAACCAACTCGATGTTGTTGAACTTCAGTCCGGGAAAGGCATTGTCTCATAATCACCCATTCATACCCCAAACTTGCACCACTAACAGACCTTCTTCACCACAGACTCAGCCTCCGTCAAGACCATCTCCACCGACACCGAAGCCCCATCTCCAAGAGTCGGAGCCCCCAGCACAGCGCTGAAAGATGCCTTCTATCTCTTCTCCGGCCGCGGCGGCATCGCTATGGAACCCGTCGAGGAATCTGGCAGTATCTGGCGATACAACCCATCCCAATCTCTCTGGGATCAACTCACGCCGACCGACGCAACGGCACCACACCCAGCCGGACGCAGCTACCACTGCACTGCCTCAGACGGTAACAAGACCATCTACATCCACGCAGGCTGCCCAGAGAAAGGCCGCCTCGCCGATCTGTGGTCCTTCAATATCGAGTCGAAGACGTGGAAGGAGCTCGCTGCAGCACCTCCTCCAGCGCGCGGCGGCGCGTCTATCGCTTTCTCTGGAGGCAAGTTATATCGCATCAATGGCTTCGATGGCACTTCCGAGCAAGGCGGTTCTCTTGATGTCTACGACCCCGCTTCCGCAGCTTGGTCTACGATTACGTACAAGCCAGATGGTGTCAAAGGCCCCGAGGCGCGAAGTGTATCAGCGCTCGTCGCGGTTGAGGTGGACGGTAAGCCGCATCTTGTGACGCTTTTCGGCGAGCGCGATCCTAGTTCGTTGGGTCACGCTGGTGCTGGCAAGATGCTCTCGGACGTGTGGGCTTTCGACATTGTGGCCGGGACGTGGGATAAGGTCTTCTTCGAGGGGGATGCGCCGCCGCCAAGAGGTTGGTTTGATGCGGATGTGGTGGTAGATGGGAGCAAGCAGGCTGTGGTTGTTCATGGAGGTCTTGCTGAAGATAACTCGAGGTTGGGAGACATCTGGAGACTCGACTTTGTCTAGACTGTCACATCTTGATGACTAGAGATCGTTGTTGCTAGTGTTGGTATTCTGAATTGAACTTGATGTAAGGAAAAGTATTTGGGCGAAGTAAAAAGCTACTCGACGTCCTTCACCATCCAGATGGATCCCTTCTCGTCTGTAGGATACACCCGGAACCCCAGTTTCTCGTAGAACGGCACGACCTTGTCGTTCTCACCACCGACGCCAATATGCACGCCCTTACCATAGAGCCTGTTCCCACTGGAGCCACCGTTGCGCTGATCGGCCTCTTTCAGACTCTCAACGAACTTGTCAATCAGCTTTCTTCCCCAGCCTTTGCCCTGCCATGGCTCCAGCAGGTCGATGTGCATCGTAGCCTTCCAGTTGCCCCAAAGCTCCTTTCGCTCATCGTCAAGCACCAGCCATGTCGGGTTGAATGCTTGCTGGAGGAGAGCCTCCTCATTTACCTCCCCCGTGTCTGGGAAGTTCCATGGCGCTTTCGTCTCGAGGCTCTTAGGCTTTCTTCCGTCCAGCTCCTTGGACGTCTCAAGGACTTCCTTGATGTACCGCGGGTACGCGCTCGCAAAGTCGTTCACGTTGGGGCAGCCAATGCAGTAGCCGACGCAGTTTCCCTCGCCATCGTCAAGTATGTGACAAGTCTCAGGAGATAGATGAGTATACTGATGTGTCCATAGGTAAGGCGCGGTCCTGGTCGCTGCTTCGGAACGCTCGAGGGACGGTGGGAGCGTGGCGCGGCACTGGGTTCATTGTTAGTCGCTGTGGAACAAAGATAAGCCCAGATAAGGACATTTGAGACGCACAATATGACCCGTCGCATCAAAGTCAGATGCCTTGTAGGGACGGATGAAAGCCATGGTCGATGAGGTGGGCTGGAATGAGAGCCGTTGAGTTGAAAGTGAGAGGTTGCCGCTGGAAGTGTAGTGGTACCGGGGCCTGAATGGCCGGATGGAGGGGTAGCGGGGTAAATCGTTCCGGACCAGACTGGGGAGGATTGACCTGCTGCTGGAGTGACATTCACGAGGCATCTCAAGCCCGGCGATAGCAGCAAAACTCAAGAGATATAGCACCGTCTGTGTAAATGAGCGATACACAGCAGTGAGACTGAAACTATCACCAAAAATGATATGAGAGCATGAGAATGACGTCGGTCGGGGATCCTGTTCACCGGATGCCGTTCATTGAGCCTGGACAGGCATCTCGGCGCCGAAACGATCACCCCGCATTTCCGGTGTTCAATGGGGCTGACCAAATTTATCAAGCCTCATATTCCGTGATCCCAAACAGGCCTCTTACGCATTTGATTGTATACGCGTTCTTGTAGTCGTCAATAGAGTTATTGTTTCCAGATTGGTGATGAGGTCTACTTCAGGGTCTAAGTAGGAGACAAAGCCAGGCTTCGAAGTCATGGCCAAGGTTGTTCTTTCACATTTCGTCTTAACAGTGTGCGGTACTCTCAGCCCTTGTTCGAATTAAGCCATATCATCGACATGTCATGTATCTCCTTGCCTGTTCTGTAGTCGACTTCTTCAGTCCTTCAGCCTGAGACCAAAGGCTCCAGCTTGTCTACGACTACATAAGACCGAGTGCCCAGGTGTCTAAGCCTCAAGCCCCAAACTCCTCCTAGCAACTCATCCAACATGTCGCAATCAACGTCGACTCTCCAAAGCTGCCTCAAGAACTCAAGGGGGTCATCCTATCGAGTCGAAAAGAAGCGCGTCCGTTTCAATAGCCAAGACCAAGTGCGCACCTTCCAGCGTCGCTCCGATGAACTGACAACTCCGCCCAGAACTCCCACCGCATCCAAGACCGGTTCAGGCTTCGAAGACGATGACTACATTGTCGACCTGCACCTCATGCAAGCCAAAATTCACAAGCACATGTCTAGACAGAAGGCTATCATGGACAGAGACTTTCTCCGCAGGTTACTCACCCCCGGTACGGAGCTCTGCCAGTTGGTCCGGCAGACGCTCTACCAGCGAAGGAAGAAGAAGAATGCTTACTTGTACAGGCAGAAGATCCGACGTTCCCAGAAGCGCCAAGGTAAGGTACGAGGTCAATGCCGTGTCAAGAAGCTTCACTGGGAGTTTGCGCAGAGGGTCAAGAACCGTCTCCAGTGAGGTGGTCGGTACATTGTTGCACTGCTTCAGCGTGGCTGGAACCTCAACACCAGATATAGGGCTATGTGATGCAACACTTGCAATTTGGAATGATTTGGTGTCGGTTTGATTTCTCACTTATAGTTCGTAGTTCAGAAGGAATATGGGCAAACCCGAATGCTCTCTTAAGGTAGAGTACAGTAGCCTCGTGAAGTGAAAATTAACCAAAATATTACAGCTATCTGTCGCACGCTGGCCATGTGCTTGATACCGTGTTATTCATATCTTGAAGCTGCAGTATTATGTAGACCATCTGAACATGATAGCTTTGAGGGAACGCTCTGTTCAAAAATGGCATTCCGTTGTGTCTAGTATGCTCTACAGCAGTGAAGTGAAGGTAAAGAGTTGCCAGCCCTGATGATAGTACGAAAACGAAGGCTGTATTCATCAATTGCTGACTGTATGAATTCAAATAGCAGCAACTCCTTCCAAGTTCCAATGACTTCCGATTTTCAAGGAAATCTGTCTTAGCAAGAGGGCACAGTCCGTTCCTTCCTGCCTTCGGGAAAAGACGAGCTTGAGGAAGAAAGTACGGAAGTGAAATTTGGGAGGTACCTTCCACTTCTCGCTCCTTCCATACAAGACTTGCTTTCGACTTCCTTTCCGTTGATTCTAGCGAACTCTCTTCCTCCTCTCCCCTTCCCTTCTTCTCCCTGATCCATCGCGAAAAAATCATCCCCTTCTCACCATCATCATCCTGTTTTGAGCCTTCGTCAGACAACACGGAGCACGACACCTGCTCGTCACCAACAGAGGATCGTCTCGCAACAGCCAGGCAAGTCCAAGCATCATTCACTGCCCTCTAGCTGCCTGCGCTCAGCCAGGAAGAGGTAGAAAATACCCACTCTGCCCGAGAATATGGAAGACTGATGAGCTCATAGTATCAGCCCAGCCGTCGACCTTGTTCTTCCAGATTCTTCCGGCAGTGCAATCGTCGCACCGTGTCGCTTGGCCATCATGGCATCGATATCGAGTCTTCCTCCCGAGATGCTGGGTGAAATTGCCGCACGCTTCCAAGATGACAGCTCACTTGGCGCAAATAACGACTGGAAAGCCAACCAGAACACGCTCGCGATTCTTTCCAGGGTATCGAAGTCATTCCAGTATGCAGCCCAACCTCTTCTCTATCGCAGAATCTATCTCGCCGTCCGGGACCCAGTCGGCCTCGACATCTTGTCGTTGATTAAGGTTCTTTATCGTCGCCAGGACCTCCGCTCCAAGGTGGACAAAGTCCAGATACACTTTGAAAAGGCTTTCTCTTGCCACCTGGAGCGAAGTACAGATGATGTTCAGAATCTCCATCATTTGGCTCGGAATATTGACCAGACAAACCTCTGCCGTGCACTGCAGGGGAACACAAAAAGTTCCTGGTTATACAATAATGTTTTATCTTCGCTGCTTTTCAATCAGCTTCGAGGTTTATCGCAAGTAATGATCACTGGGCTATACAGCCCGGACTTGAAAGACGACTATGGAGAATTCGACCACTTTGACAATGCTTGGTCGATCTTGCCCTATTCCTTGATACCTCCCTCTGAGACGCCGGAGGCTTTGCTTCAGAACTTGACTTTTATTTATTTAGACGCCCACGAAGTTACAAAAATCCAGCTCTCAGAATTTCACACGCTCGCTTGTCTTGCACCCAACCTCGAATCGTTCTCGGGCTGCAGATTCAAGAACGTCCCGACAGCGGCATTCAACGGTTTCAAAAAGCTCAAGCACTTGTCTCTCGTGGACGCACCTGTAGAGGATGACGATTCTTTGAACCAGGGAGGGTTTCTCGAGATTCCGCCTGGACTTCATTCTTTTCAGTACAGTGTGCGTTTTGCCTTGTACTTGGGTGAACAGTACATATCCCCGATGAAGGTCCGACGGGCCCTTGCGCAACACTCAGACACTCTGAATTACATTGAGGTTCGATTCCCCAAGGGAAGTTTATTGGAGGAGGACGACCTAATCGATACTTTTGGGATGTTCAAAAGACTCGAGCATCTTTCGGCGGATCCAAGGGATTTTGTGATGTACGGCCAGAATAGCTCAGGCCCACATGCGTTCATCACAACATTACCTCGATCACTTCGAAACCTAACCATCCTGGACCAGTCTTACTGGGATATACAGGACATCGAATGGCTTGCCGATGCCGTTCATAAAGGAGACTTCGAGAATCTCGAAAGCCTCACCATTGGTGTTGATGAACGTGACATGGACTTCTTTTATACCACTATGGGAGAAATTTGGGACGGGATCGATAAGCCAGAGTTTGAGGAGGAAAAGGCTTCTTTCTGTGTCACAGTGATTTCTAGGACCAGTACGAGGGAATTGTGGTGTTATTGGTGATGAACTTCACTGCTTCAGTCTTTCAGCTTGATACATGGTTGAAGTTGCATCGCTCCGCCGTTTGTTCGGAACAGAAGGGGGTGCAGAGGGGGGGGGGGGGATTGAATCACACTAGCACAGAATATCTTTGTTGGTTTAGGAGCCCTAAGCTTCATAGAACGAAAATGAAATGAATTCCAATTGCGTAGCTACAGCTGTGAAGGCATTAACTTGAGAAGATGTGTATGAAAAGAATGTGTTGAAAGCCAGCGTCCATACCAGTAGAACGTGGACACACCTCAACACCAGTGAATTTCCTTAAGTAGGTAGATAGACACGGGGGCTCATCACTGCAATACAGCAACAGGCGTTACATTGCAGCTATACCAGCCACTATGACAATATATCATTGCGGGTTACACTGCATGTGTGTCGGTGGCTGAGCCATGCCAGCATAAGCAAGTGTGGTAGGGTCAGGCTGAAAGAGTGTCTGTCATGCGATGTTACCAAGCACGATAGAATGGGACTTGTACCCCAACTTTCTGCCTCGAGTCTCTCCTCAAGACCGCGTTCCGCTCGGTTGCTCAATCATCTTGCAATATGAACAGAAGACCAAGTACTTCACCCTGCACAGACGATGTATCCGAAGTTAGCAGTGTCAATTCGTTATCAATTCGTACATCCATTACATTTGTGCAAGAACGGTCATCTCGCGAGCATGAGGAAGTACGGGCGCCAACGCTAATCGATCCGCATGAAGCTATCGAGGGAACTTTGGACTACGACATACCGATTTGGAAAGTTCTCCCTGCGACGTCATTGATCAATGAGGCTGGCTCCCTGCTCAGTCAAGCGAGTCCACCGCAAGAGCTCAGCCGATGGCGAGCTGTCGGCACTTTTGGACTCTATGTCCTCGGAATTGGAACTGTCTTCATCATCGGATCTGTTGGCTTCATGAGCTTTTTCTGGAAAACTTCGATTATGGCTAATGAAGTCGTTGTGCAAAACACATTATGGAGTCAAATCGTTTTCGCCGACTGGGCGTCTAGATCAATCACTCTGACGGCCGCTGCGCTGCGTGTTTGTCTGGCGCTCCAGATGAGCTTGTTCACCGCAATGATCGCCTCGCTCATGATAGAACGGACAGGGATATCTTTCAGCGCGGCTCCCTTCGTCTCTATGCTGAGAGCTATGCCTGCATCGCCGTACAGTTTGATCAGTTGGACACCTTTCGACATGCCCTTGGGCATTGGGACCGTTTACACCATGGCTATCACAACTTCAGTTCTCTTGACAGCAGCATCTCAGTTGGCCTCGACCGCCTTGCTGTCTGATTTCGCAGTGGTAAATGTGACTGCACCGCAAAAAGCCGTCAACATGCTGTACGGAAACAGTAGTGTCATAAACCCAACAGTGATGCAGGGCTCCAGCATCTGGAAGTCAAAGCCTTGGGTCTATCCAAGGTTTGCGGAACTACAAAGGCAGCCTACCGAGGCCCAGCAGTCCGAATTTTTCGAAGATACAGGGACCATCCTACGGGCATTCATTCCCTTTGCGAATGAGCCAAGCCGTAGTCGCCTGCGAAATTATGAAGGGTCCGCCGCTGTTGTAGACTCCAGAGTGGTCTGCGTCAGACCTGTCATCCGGAACGTCACATTTTCTGCGGTTGCCTTTGACTTCTCAAACGATACACGGCTAGAGACCTACAGCGAGTTCAATGTCCTCGGGCAGTTTGACATACAAGGAGGCTACGACCAGCTGCCGATCAACCGAGGCCAAAACCAGATAGATGAGCCAAAGTGGCCTTTCAACTGTGTGGTTCCCGCTGAAGATATTCATGGTTACTCCAAAGGCGAACCCCTCGCTTCACAAATTGACAACTTTTCGATCTGTTCAGTGGGTCGGGGAGAAAATAGGACATGGCCGGATGGGAAGAATTACACCATGCCATTTCTTCCCTCACCCTTTTCAGCACTGAACACTACCTACACCTCTATATTCCTTGTATTCAACGGCACTGGGACAATGCCTCAGTGGCATCAGGGTCTCCGGGTTCATGGCAACTTGAACAGCAGCACTAGCCGCTGGGAAGCCTCTGCCGATAAATGGATATCGACCTCGGATGGAATGTGGAATAGTGTTGATATACCATGGGAAGGACATGCCAAGAGAGTAGGTGTCTCCGTCACCGCATGCTTTGCAAACTTGCAGGGCCATGTGCAAAATGTTAGCATGTCCAGTAAGGTTGATGGCCACGAACCGATCCTAGCTTGGGACAGCCCGAATACTCAGTACACCACGAATGTCATTCGGGACCAGTATTCCAGCATCTGCAAAGGACCTCCCGGCGGAGACCCTAGCCCGGAACTACTCGAACTTATTCCGAAGAAGAGTTGGAAGAGTGAGGATCACAGACTGTCACTCGACGTAGTCACCTCTCAACTTCCTTTCATGACACGCAGCCTGCACCACCCCTTAATCGACCCATCGCCCTGTGGGATGCTACGGACGGGTGGATATTCCTCCCGTGCCGTTCATTACGCACATTCTGCGCTCTTTCAAGACGTGCTCAGGACGAGCTTGAGCGTACCAGAGGCACTACAGGCTATCCTCACAGTCACTCAGCAAATGTCTTACTACGATACCTTGCCTTACTTCCGGAATGCTTGGCCAGCGACGTACGCCATGACAGAGGAAAAACTGATTCCCGTCCGGTGGGTTGGGTTTGGTATCGTCGTTGCTATCATCGTGTTACACCTAGGCCTCGTTACAGCTGCCTCTATTCTGTTTCTCAAGTTGACTACCTGCAGCAGCTTGGGAAATGTGTGGATGTCACTAAGCCAGATTGTGTCATTGGAGACGGAAGGTCTGATTCAGGAAGCTACATCGAAAGATGACAATGCAGTTGAGAAGATGATTTGGGAAGCAATATCCAAAGGTGATTCGGGGTTGAGGCAGAGGGTTAAGATACTGAAGAACGGGCTGAACGGCCGGAATGAGTTGAGCTCCTTCTAAACCAGAGATGGCAATGGTAGTGTTACAGATGGCAGAATCAGCAGAGCCTCAAAATAACGTGGGTAAGATACCCCCAATCCAGGTCGCCTTTCCGCCCTCTGACATGCAATTCAGACTTTACCAATTTGTCCGCAGTGCACGCATCATTCCTCATCCCTCTGGTAGGCCTCAATAAGTCTCCAAACAGTGGCTGACAGTAAGCCGGTCTTGGCGCACGCAGCGCTCGGTAGCTTGATTCAGATGCCACCCTAGCCGCGGGTACCTAAGGTAGTTATGCTTGTTCTCACTCCGGGGCAAGGACTGTCCAATTAAGGGCTGGCTCTATTCTGGTGGCTGCGTAAGATGGGCTAGACCTTCAGCCCAACGTTGATCCCACCCGGGCGGGTCGTCGAAGGATCGTCAGGCTACAAAATTAGAGGCTGACATGCAGTAGATTCGCAGACCTTGGAAGCAAGGGTGTGTCTGCTCCGTGTCCGTGTCCGTGTAGGAATATGTAGCGGAAAAGGTATCTCTTAAAATCTCTGTTCATCTCCTGCTCGCGTGCTCACGTTTCTCAAGGTTCAGGAAATTCGGGTAGGAATACGGTCGTTTCTTTTGCCATGGCTTCGAAAATTGAGTACAGCTCCCTCCAACGGGATGTGTCCGATGAGGACCGGGCCTCTGCCGAAAAGAACATGCCGCAAAGTGGGTCTTTGTCATCGGACGGACAGCTACACTATGGCGGGACCACGGCCGAACGCATGTTTAGGTTCCAAGACTTCAAGTTCCTCAAGATTTACATCTCTTGCATCTTGGTATACCTTCTTGCTGCGGTGGCGGCGGTTGTCTGGTCGTATCAGGGACCCGCGGTCGACAGAGACTACTACATGCAACGCGTCTTTCGCACGCCAGACTCCTTGAAGGTCGATCAGCTTTACTCTGGTATCGCCCTCTCAGCACTACTTGCCCCGGCGGGCATGTTGGTCCAATGGATCATGCACGACTTCCGACACCTTCGACTCTTCGCTCTCACGGCGCAGCGGCCGGTTCTCTTGGCGGACTTGGACAAGATAGGAGACGACTCGAGTGCTTGGACGCTGCGGATACTGGGAAAATACTCGTGGTGGTACGCCGTCATGCAGGCCGCGCTCATCGTCATTCGCACCTCGATCGTTCCCGTCGGCACTCTTATGCTCACGACCGGAGCTTATTACGAAAACATCACCGGAGTTGACGTCGTCGGAATGCCCATCCTTCCCTCAAACGACTCCTCCGTTACGAGATTGGCCAACGCGATGGGTTGGGACGGGCAGGGAACCTTCAAGCAGACTCTTGATGACAACGACAACTTCCTTTCGCGAACCGTCTACACCTTTGTTGGTAACATCGTCAGCCAAAGTGCCCTCGTCGACGTCTTCTCGGGCGTCATTGGCCCCATTCCGACGCACAACCTAACCTTCAACGTTAACACGACCTACCACGGCCTTATTCTGTATCACTGGGACGCCAACTGCGAAGCAGCGACCGAAATACCATTCACCACCTCCGTCAACGGCGTCAACGCTTCATACACCTTTACCCTTCCCGATTCCACCAACCAGACGATCGATCTCACCCCCCGAAAACAGGAATCGCAGAGCCTGCGTCTCTGGAACAGCGCAGCCAACAACTCCATCAACAACGTTCCCATCGGTGGCACCACATACTTCATCTCCGCAGGCCCCTCCTCATCCCTCAAAGCCGAGACTCGCACCAATGATAGCAGCCTTACACAGACTGCCGAGGGTCACTGGATCTCCCGCACCAAGTGCACTCCCGAATTCTCATGGGAAGTCGGCGCCTGCACGTTCAACGGCACCTTGATGACGGATTGCGTGGGCAACCCAGGATCAAACACCACAGCCATCGATACGGCGGCATTAAACGTACTGAAGGACTACATGACTGCCATTCCCTGGTGGATCTTCCGCGAGCAGCTCCAAATCGTTGACAAAACGATCGATACTCTCTACGCGATCCCTACATCAGCAGACTGGGGCCACTTCTTCGGCAACATTGCACAGTCCATCGCCGCCATCTCGACGGCAGGATACTTTGGCACCGCCAGCGTGCCTGCAGTGGCGAGGGTCAAGGAGGATGTGTACATCATGCGGACAGTGGTGCTGTGGATCGTGCTGGCGATGCTGAGCGTCGTCTTCTTTGTCAGTTGTCTGGATATATGGAGGAGCAAGTCGCGCGGTCTGCCATTCAGAGCAGCGACGTTCTTGGCTATTGCGAATGCCGTTAGAGGGCCGTGGTGGGACCAGGAACTGCATGGAAGCTGTGCTGCTGATGAGGTGACGATGCAGAAGAGGAGTTCGGCGTCGGTCATGTTTGGGGTTGATGCGAATAATCCGTATCACTTGGGGTTGCTGCCGGCGGTGCTGCCAATTCAGCGGGATAGACCGTACTTTGGCATTGGGAGGCGCAAGGGACCGGAAAGATCATAGGCCACTTGGAAATTACATCTAAAGATTCACCCTGATGTGAGGCATCGATGTTGATGCATGTTCTGGTTCATGTCTAGTGATCTCATCCCACTTCATCTACACGCCTAACTCCAGTCATCACCTACTATCCCTTCCAGCCTTTGTACTCCTCTAAAAACATCATCCGCAGCCCTCTCGTTTTATCAAAATCACTTGCGAACTTCCCCCAGAGGAATGCTCATCCCGTGACGCCCGCTGTATTTGGAAACCTCGGCCGGCTTCCAGCCACCACGCTGCAAGAGACTCTCGTCCTCAAGACGGAATACCTCAACCTTGAGTGGGCGACAGCATTTGATCATCTCCTCCTCGCTGTCCTCGCCGAAGCCCCAAAGCGAGAGATCGCCACCAGGGCAGGTGCCTACGATACCAGTCAGTCATGTGCTCACAGCTGTTTAACAGCTTTCACCGATCCAGGCTGTTGGATCCAATGTAGTCGCAGCGCAAACACGCTCACAAGGGAAAGGGGTAACACCTACTCAAAGCCATCAAAAGATCCTGCTCAGCCAAAAACTCAAGGTGATCACCAGGTTGCGCAGGGCAGGGGTTCATAAAGTACCGCCCCTGCTCATCCAAGCCAGTTACTTGGAAAATGTTAATCACGTCATGGACATCCTGCTCGTTCAGTCCGTACGGCACCACCGCGCGCGTCAAGTTGGAATGACACTGGAAGTTGTAGTTGCCACCGCTGAGAACGGTGTTGATGTACGGATCGCAGCGCGTGCCGAGGAGATCGTGCACACGCCCGCCGTGCTCATCCTCGCCGTACCAGTCCAGAGAGTCCTTGATGATGGTGGCTAGCGGGCGCATGTAAGGCAAGTTGGACCAGAGGCGATCGCCCGTCGAAACATGGCTGGCGTGGAGCTGCTTGGTGCGACTCGCCCAGAAGCGTTCGCGGGGGTTGTGGGCGTTCCAGATGTTCAAGTCACCTGTAGTCGGAATGAGCACCCCTCGTTATGAGAAGAGGAGTCTTTATCTTTCATCTTCGCGACGTACCGACTTGAGGACCCTCCGGTGTGCTGATCCTCACAATTGAACCGGCGGGTGCTTTCCATGCTCTTCCTGACCGAATTGGCAGCGTGAACTCCTCAATTAACACTCTCTTTGCCTGCTGTGCGGATCCGTACAGCTCCTTGTCGACTGTGAGCACCGAGCCGGCGGTCGGGAGATAAGCCGGAACGGGCTTCGGGATCGGCTTCCGATCTTTCAGACGCTGCGCGGGATCCATGTCGGCGGCTGACATTTCGTCACTTCTGTTGGCGATTCGGTCGAGTGAAGGAGAGGGGGGAACTTGGCAGAGTAACGCTTTGAGTAAAGAAGGAACGCGAATAGCTTGTACACTATGAACGGAAGACGACTGAAGTTCTTATATCATGGTGCTTGTGGCATCCCGATACCATCAACCGGGAGAACCCCGCTACTTTGGCACTTTGGATACACAAAGTTCCTTACGTAAAGCCTACCTTTGGAGGTGGTTAAGGCAAGAGACTCCGACAGTAGGATGACGGCCGATGCCGGTCCTTTTACTCGTGCTGTCTCCACTCCTCCAACGCCGGCAACTCTCTGCGAAGTGCGCCTGTTATCAAAAAATGCGTATCAAACAAGCTACATATGTCTTGTGGACGCAATTCCGGCGCCAATACAACTGTATTCACTCGCTGATTGTGCAACTTGTGCTCTTCAGCATCATTATACCAATAGCTGCAATGCGCTCAGCTGTAGACGCATCAAACGAGAAAACGTTGGGTAAGTGGAGCACAGTCGCGAATCGCCCTCATTCGGGAGCTGGTCGATGAGATCCATAAAAAAAAAAAGTGTCACACACTTATGTGGGCTACACATTGCCTCGTGGCGGAATCGAACCGCCGATCTTCTCATGTCACTAATACTAGTGAGACGCTATACCACTTAGCCAACAAGGCTTGAATGCTGTGACAAAAAGTGCTAGTAAGAACCCTCAGGGTTGGGCTGGCTCGGTGGGCCACGACTGACGATGGAGTCTAGAACGGCGGCAGAGAGAGTCGGGCGCTGCCTCTTCAGCGACTGATAGGCTTTTGGTCCACTCAAGTTACTAACAAACTTGAAGAAAGTTTCAAAAAGCTTATAGAACATGAATCCGGGGTCTCTCTTTAACAAATGAATTTGTGGCGGAGGACTCATAGTGCCGGACAGTCAGACTCCCGTGGAGGTCAAGAATCAGAGAATCAGATCCATCATTCATACTAATGGTAGATTGTTTTGAGAAATGAGGGCTCATGAGATTATTCCTACAACTTATAAGGCGGTCATCGAAACTTTGAAACCCCAAGCAAAGTCAGGACAAAACACCTTCATACTAACATAACACTTATTATCTTCGGAATTTGAGTTAGTGAGATATGATTCTCAGATCTTTATACTATATTCGTAGATTAGACTATGAGAGGTCAAGGGGACCGTGGAAAGCCTCCTCCGTAAAAAGTTCTGTTCACATGATACGATGCCGTATGTGAACTAATTCAATCTCTGAATCTCATCTTTTCGCCGGTCTCTCTATTTTTGCTTGGAGATGGTCCGCACCTTACAAAAGTGGTTATGAATCTTTAGAGCGTTTTGTGCGCTACTTCCTTGCTGTTATTTCACTCACGTAGATGCTGAAAGCGTAAGATATAAGAATTGTGGGTAAGTTAAAGTTTGGTTGGGAATTATAGGTTATTACATGTTATTGCTGTCAAGACACTTAGATGAACCATCATATTATCACGTGGTCGATGTATCATATATGCCGTGGCCTCCTCGACCAAATACTGTGACGAAATTAGCTGAATAGATTTTGGGTAGCTGAAAGTTAAGATCAGGGCCCCAAATTCACTGTTGGTAGGCAATAAACACCTTCAACATCCTGACCCTTACAATCCGCTATGATGACTCAAAGTCTAAGGCCAAATTTAGAATATCAAACAACTCGGGATATTACTACCGAGATTTTTTGACCTTGTGCTATTGCCTAGACAGAGTTCGGGCGTAATATAAGAAAGCCTGCTTCGTTCGTCCAGTCACATTATCCCTCTCGGAATTCCAGACCGCTATTCTGCCTGCTTGTTCCGGAACATCGAATGGATAGACAGGATCTTATCGACTGCATACACCAACAACGCCTCCTGCTTGTCTGGGGTACTTACACGTCACCGTGTGACACCTCGGGATACAAGTATCGGGCCATATGTCCTCGGTACCCGCGTTTATTTGGTGGTACTTTGTCAACAAGGTGTGTATCGAGTGGAATTAGCCGGTACAATGTCGTTCGATATCCGCTACACCCAAGAGATGAAAGGACAAAGGCTTTTCAGCGATATCACCCACCATCACGGTAACCTGGTCACTCACTACCAATGGTGTTCTAGAACGGCCCAAACAGCCTCTTGCCAACAGCATTTGTACCAGAGTGAAAAGACCATGTAAGAAGTTCAGCAATGACTGTGGAGGTTCGTATCCAGGGTTAGAGCCCGCCGACCTTCGAGTGGCCCAACCAGAAGCATCACAAGTCTGGAGGCCTCTACGAATCGGGGCATACAATATGCGGAAACCAGTGGCTGCTGCAGAAAGTCTCGTGAATTGCAGACCAGTCAGCAGCGTCGAGACGCGGCAGGCGCATGTGTATCTCAGAAGCGTTGGCTGGATCCGCGTCATTGAGTCAACATCCCAGCACCGGAATAATTACCCTTGAATAGCTAATCGCACTCTAAAATACGCATTTCTTCGTTGATGTCCGTATCCGTCACATCTCATTCCCAGATCAATCCATCCTTTGGGCGAGGTATTCGACGAAGAGCTTCTTCTTTCGGGCCGACTCGATAGCAACCAAAAAGCCACGTCTCTCGGAAACTTTTCTTGCGAGCGAAAGGAGATATCCCAGACTTCCTTCTTGGCTTTTTTGTTTCGTGGTCTGTTCGCACAACACGCCCAGCGGCGCCAAATCTGCTTGCCGTGGGCAGCAATTTCAATCAGCCTCGGAGGTGCCGTATTAGTGGCCTTCCAGAAAGAGATTGGACCTTTGGGCTTCATTGTGCGATGAACTGTTTTCCGTATCCGTAGTTGTTTTTTGCGCCCGACGCCCAGGGACCCTCAAGCAAGGGTCACCATGTCTTCATACATGAGCCTGCACGGCAAGTCCAGCCAAGGCGCAGCACCATAAATGTTAGTCACGCTAGGCATCCAACGTCGCAACCGCAGCTAAGGACATTTGCTGCAACTAAGGATATGAAGGAACATGTGGAAAGTGGAAAAAGAGGATGTGTCAACGGGTAACAAGACAAGACACGCGTTGCGGATGACTTGTGACTGTTCATACCTCTTGGGTCTTGCGTACGATCTGTGTTGCGCGTCAGAGTGTTTCTGCCAGGGCAGAGGATCACCAGTAGCGTGACGCGGAACGGACGAGCGTAAAATATTCGCAGGTCTTGGTGTTTAGTAATGCCTCAACTCCTGGAAGCCTTCTGCGGGACCCGGGTTCCTCCTCGGTTGATCACGTATTCTGGTAAGGCAGAGGATCGACCGGTTTGCACGGGGGCTGGAGACAGCAACGGCAACGGGCCAACGGCCAAACCGCGAGATCCTCGGAGGCGGAGTCAGTGTGACAGCGTGCCAAGCGGGAAGGGGTGTGGTGTTGTCGGCGGCCTAGGACTACGCAAGCTGCAATGTCACAATGTGGACGGCTGCGCAACAGCGAAGAGAAAACGAGAAAACATCCTTTGAAGATGCGCAGGAACGTGCAAAGGAACGTGCAAAGGAACGTGCAAAGGAACGTCTCGTCGGGTTCGCGTGGGGGTGGGACGGTTCTTGTTCGCGTTGCGCTGCTTGGACAGTTGGTTTAGCATGAGCGAGGGCACGTAAGCCCGTGTGGACTCGTCAATGGGAAATCAAAACCGCGGGTTTCGAGACAAAGAGGACCCTGAAAGGAGGTGTCACATTGACGCGGACAAGTTTATCTTCCCGTCTGGCAAACACATGCCAAAATAGCTGTCGCGTACATAGTGACTTAAGCTCAGGCACTCTGCCAAGGTACCTTACTCTTGCCAGTAGGGTAGCATTCACAAGAATCCCATCTCAAGGATTTTGTAGGAACTTTTTCCTTTCTCACACTGCCATGTGCGTTACCGTTACGCGTCCAGTCTGTCTCGATCCGGCACAGACACCTGAACCTGAGGGCCAGGCCAGCTGGGGCTCCATCGAAGTTATCCTGATCCATAAGTATGGTGACGGAACAGAGCTCCGGCAGTTGTGCACATCACATCACGCAACGTTTGTGGGAAATACACTCAATTTGACGGGCGAGGTTGGAGTGCAATAAGCTTCGGCTCGCTTGCTTAGCTTGCAGTGGCCAGGTTCCATCGCGAGAATCCGTCTGTCACCCATATGGAACTCGAACAGGCCTCCTCCATATCATCAAGTACGGAGTTCCCAAAGTTCAGAGTACCTTTGACCTGGATACATGAGCAGTTAGACCAGCTACCTACCTAGGGACGCACGGGGAAAGGGTCCGGAGCTGGGTCCGGGTCGGCGAGGCGAGAAAAGAGGCGAGGAAATCGTCAAAGGATCCCAGGGCCAGCTACCCCCGGCCGCCGCCGTCGTGCCACCACCTACACTCAACTTGAAACCGAAAATCTCCTATTCTGAGCTATCGTGGATCGTGGAACCCCTCGCTACTCTCTCTTCTCTCTGTCAAGCTCACCTCCTGATCTGTGCCTCTATCTCCTCTTCCTCCTTCGTGCCACCTGTTCGAAACTGCGATTCAAGCGACCAGGCTCAAGGGCCACACGGTACACCAACGGGATGCGCGTGATGCACGATGCACGATGTCGACATTGCGACACCAAGAGCCCAGTCCCCTCGGCGGCGGCGTCTAGCTCGCTTACAAGGTTACATTGATCGTGATTGAACCCAGACCCCCCGTTCAGCCGCCGCGGATTATGCGCGCTCTATTTGCTTTACTGCGCGCGCAGCAGCAGCAGGCCAGCTCCAGGCTGTGCTGTAGATGGTGATGCGACTTGCACGAGTCGGTTTGTCCCATGTTTGCATTGTCGGCATCGCATTTTTCGGCGAAGGCCTAGACCGTTCTCAATCCCCCCCCTTCCTGCGGTGGAACTGTCAAAAGTCAAGTTGTACAACGCGGCGTGAGTGACTGCACAAAGGGGGCATCCAGGAATAGAGTGACAAGAAGGCAGCCGCACTAACGTTGATAGCCGTGAGATAGCTTCCCCGGTGCCGCCTTGCAAATAACGGCTCTCCAGTTTCGAGACAAGTGATGAGCAAGACGACACGTGTGATCAGGCCAGAAGCCGTTGATCTGAAGTTCGGGAGACCTTTCCATTCGGGCAACGATTTCCCACTTCGGGCCGGAGCATGCCCACAGTTTGCTCCTGTCCGTAGATTGGTTTGCCGCCTCGCCAAAACGCTTCCATGGCCGCTTGGTAAAAATCGCTCACTGGAGAAATGGAGAATGGAGAAGGACGGACTGCACTGATCCGCGCTGTGCCCAACCCGTGGCCCGCGTGGCTATATGTACAGTACCCTTGATCTTATGACTGCAGCTTCAACGGCGTCGGCGAGTTCAGCCTCTCTTGGTCTCGTCAGATGTCGGTCCCAGATAGAAGGGAGGGATGCCGAAACAGAACGGAAATACATTATAAGCCTGGCTGATAGTAGGGTGCTGATATTACAGGTCGGCCTTGGGGAGCAGCAGAGAGCAGCCATGAAGGAAGCATCGAAATTAGAGTGTAGCTTCGCATATGGGCATCAACGCATGTAATGTACATGAGCATTTGAGAACGGGAATGGCCTTCTTTCAGGAATAGGCGGTTTTTCTGCGAATGGAGTCGCGCAGATCCACTCGAGAATGAGCTTATACGAGGGGTTGGAACGGCGCGCGAGTGGCCTCTTTGATTATGGCTTGCTGCCAGTCTGCGCTGCTGCAGTAATAAGTCACCGGTTAGTAAAGTGAAGGGCAATGATCGCCGGGACATCTCGTATTAGCGACGAGGCATTTCGATCGAGTGTGTCCAATCGGAGGCGCTGAGTTGAAATGACAGTCTGCAGGATTTTTTTCTTCCGGTGCCATTTCTCCCTCATAATCTCATGTGTAGATAGATGCCTTACTGTGGACATGTGAAGGATGCTGGCTTCGAAAGACCACATTAGCAGTACCAAGACAATGTGTGTCTTGGTCAACAACCGTTCCGACCTCCCGAAGCTGCAAAACAATTGGAACACATTCATGGCCAAGGCGAATACCTTCAAAACGCATCCCGCGGCCGACAGTGCCAAAAGGGCTGAATGGAAGACAAAGGGAGCCGAAATAGAGGCAACTTGGGGGCCGTTTCTGCCCAAGGTTCCAGACGGCATGCTCAAGGGCCAACTCAAAATGACGGGAAATGCAGCCTTGGAGGGGCCGCAAAAGTTCGGCTAACTGGTTAAACGAGCCCCTCAAACTTGAGTCAAAATACCCAATATCCAGACTTGTATGCCACATTGCGTGCATCTTTCAAACATAATGTTCAACATTGAACCCTATAATCACCGCCATGTATCCGTACACCCGCACAAAAAGAGAGGTCATCAAAAGATTTGATTGCTGGTGGTGAAGTGAATTCGTACGAGAATAGAGTGGCTCGTGTTTCTGAAACACTGTCAATTTGTTCTAGAATCCTATTAATAGTGGCGGCATCCTTGAGGCCCTGGACAGCCCTGGCTGACGGGAAATGGATGGGCAAAGCAAAAATGCGCTCTCCACGCTGGGAGGAAGAGAAGCATAGTTTACGGATACACCATAGTAGAGCAGAAGGGGTCTCAATGGATCAGAAGGTCAGAGCCAAAACCAGAGAAAGAAAGCTCTCAAACACTTTGGAGAGCAAAGAAAGGAGAGCCTGGCCCAAACCCCAGTGCCCCTGGATGATGCCGCGACGGCACTCGTTCTCCCAGACAGTGGACGCAACGGACTTCAGCGAACAGGTCCCCCGCGGGTCCTCCTCAACTAAGGTAACCTTAGTCATTATGCGCAACCTCTGGGCGCAAGTTCTTGAATTCCGTGGCATCTACCTGTGCCTGGGTGCTGGCTAGAGTACTACCCAGGTCTAGGCACTGCGCAGAGACTGGGGGGCAGAGAGAAGGGGAACGACATACAAATTCTGGAACCTGGAACCGCCCTGGAGCCGTTCTGGCGCATTGGTCAGTGTCTGGTACACTGGTGCGCGCCCCTCTCCGTGTATCCGTACCTTTTATGGCGCTGGGTCTCTTTGTTCCTTGCCCATTCTTACTCCACAGCCCCGGCAAGCGAAAGGACTGGACACACACTGGCCAAAGGTAGAGCTGCTGCTGTAGCAGAGAGAGAGAGAGCGAGAGAGGCAGCTGGCAGCAGAGTAAAGGCGAGTAAAAGCGGTACCACAGTTTGGGCGAGCCCACAGTCAAGGGACGTGAGATATCCACAGCCCTCGGTCCAGCCATGCGCCCCTCCCTAAATCTCTCTTCCCAGGCCATGGGGAGCCGTGGGAGACGGACAAGGCAGAGTTGTAGAAAGCCATGGAGTAATATGTACATTACCACAGAACCTTGCAGCTCAAGGTACCTGTGTCCTTGTAGATATCCGCAGTACCTTTTACCCAGTACACATGTGTGATGAGGAAGGGCGACGAGGGTCTCGATGGGCAATGAGCGATGGGATGGGATGCTGCTGCTGTGTAACTACAGTACCAGGCGACCATGGCAAGGCCATGTTGTTTGTTCGCTGCCCCCTTCCAGACCCCTTCCCCCTCCCGTGGATGCCGTGAGGCGTGAGATGATAAAGACCCTTTCAAGTCCCCCTCCACAACCACTGCTTTTTTTGCTCTCTTTTTCTGCCCTCGATAACCCTTTGCTGTGCATCTGCTTGTCTGGAACATTCCTGTTGACTGCGTTGCTTCCTCTCCTTATCCCATCCAATCTTGACTCTCCTCTTTGCAGTTTCGTCACCACCGCTACCACCACAATCACCACCGCTACAACCAAATCCAGAAACCCCTCCACATCCTCTAGACGGTTCCCTCGGTATTTACACTTCCAGACAAAGAAACTTCCGTCATTCCGTCTCCAGTGTCGACGCCATAGATTTTTAAAGGGACTTTGCCTGCTAGCCAGAGCAGACCGGAAAGGATTCTTTGGAAGATTGATTACACATCTCGGCCAGCAGAAACGGGAAACAATCTACTTTTACTATTAGTAACCCGGTGTCGACGAACCTCCCCGAAAGTAAACGACGACAACATCAGCAACAGTCACGACAAACACTTCTCTCGCCAACAGCTCGAAGAAGAAGAACAACAACTACAGCAACAGCAACTGGACAACACCCGATTCGACGACAATAACATCGTCGATCAACAGCAACACCGGTCTCCCCCAAATAACCCCCAAAACCTTCACCACGGCTTCTCCAGCGATCGCCACCATGGGTTCCCCGAGTGGACCCCTCCGACCCCGAGCGTCGTCAAATTTCATGGGCATCCGCGCATCTGGGTTCCCGCCGTCCATGACGCCGCAAGAAAAGCACCTCTTCTCAACCCACGTCAACACGGCCACGACACGCCTCTCGAGCACAATGGCCGCCAGCGAGACGGGCGAGGGCTACGTGTTTGTCGTCTACTTCCACAAGACCACCGCCGCCGACGCTCTCGCCCTGCTCCAGGCCGCAGACATCCGAGTCAGGGGCCACGAGATCCAATTTTCCTGGCACTGAGAGAAACTTGGAAACCCGGCACTCGTTTACTTTCTTTCTCCCCTTCTACCTCATTTGAGTAATGAGCTTTCCCAGTGCATCGCTGTGCCTTGATTTTTGAGGCCCGGGCTCCCGGCTGGACTGGACTGGACTTGACTGGACTCTTCTTTTTGTGTGGACCGTGGGTTTATGGGACGGAACTTATGGGCTCATTCTCGACTCAAGCTCTGTCCTGTCACTATGACCCCCCGATCCGTTTCTCGACTTCACACACATTTGAGGTCCTGCGTCCTGCCGCCTGCCGGGATTTGACAGCTTTCTGAACCGGTTCGAGAGGGATCATCCCGTGTGTTCTCTCTGCTTCTGGTTCTCTCCATTTTACTCTATGTCTTTTCAATATTCACATATCCCCCCTCCCTCCAGGCTCCAGACATCTCAAAGAGCAAGACTGTCTTCTCAGAAACTAGACTCCTTGTCTGCTCCAACAACCCCCCTACCCTACCTCTACCCTCCCTTCCATCCTCCAATTCCCGCCCGACCGCCCCGGGACGAATCCTTCAGCGATCCATCCTCCACCCTACCTCGACCAGTCACCACCCCTCCCCCCTTGCCACTCTTCTCAGAGATCTGCAAGTCTAGGCCATCCTAGACCACCCCATCCCATCCAACTTTCCAGGGCAATCATCCATCTCACCCACACACTGGCTCCTCCGCCCATCTCACCTTATCTCCATCGAGCGATCAATCACTCAATCACGCCAAAAAAGCATCGTGCTTCTCACGTTTCTGCTTGGCTTACTGGCTCTCAACCCCCCTTATCCCGTATATCCGCGCATCCACTACCCACCTCGCAAGCAAGCAAGCAAGGGGGGGGGGGATGCGTTCGGTTCGTCAATGGCCGCAGATGAGCCGCAGATGAACCAAGCCCGTCCAAGTTGTTCGCTCCGCCCGCCCGCACCGCACCGCCCTACTTCTCTATCCCCCGCCCGGGTGGGCCGGCCGGCAACGCTGACGGTCAGGTCGTCGCAGGTGGGAATGAGCAACCCCCGAGAAGGGTACGCCGCAAGGGCAGCGGGACGGGAATTCGGGAAACATGGGAACGAGAGAGAAGAGTCCCTGAGAAAGACAGCAATACAATCGAGATGAGGTGACGCGGATAAAGGGACGCGTTACGCGGCCATCCGCTTCGTCACCACTCCAGCTGCAACCCTCCTCCCCCCTTCGAACGCCAGGCTCGCCGGGCCCATCATCCCACTACTGTTTTTTTTTTTTCATCTTCCCACACTTGGCATCTTGATCGATGATCGAACGGAGCCCCGTTACCAGGCCCGTTGTCAATCTCTGGGTTCCTGATGAAGGGTTGCATTCGAATTCGGCAATCGGCCCCAGTGGGATCCCACGGAGAAAAAGAGTACAAACCACCTAAGATGAGACGGCGCCAACGCAATCAAGGACGGATTATCCGCGATTTCATTTTCAAGGGGCTACCGATTGGAGAACATTTGGGCCGGGGTATCAAACGGTGTGTGGAAGTTCGATCGAAAAATCCACATTGGCATGCAAAGGTTAGTCCAATTGCAACAGTCACAAATACAACACTACACAACCTTTTATTTCCTTCTCTTTTTTTTTTGCTTTTCCTTTACTCATCATATTACGGAATTGCTGCAACTCTTCTTCGGTCTCGCAAGGAATACTCCCCAAGCGGAGAATATCCGACCGCGCAGGCAGGCAACACAGCCAAAAAAGAGACTCTGGCCTTGCATGGAAACATCGGCTGACAGGAGTTCCAGACCAAGTTCGATTTTGATTACCGGCCCGACGTGGGGGAGCATGATGAGGGGACCGGGGAGGGCCTACACCACGAGACCCTGAACGGAGCAAAGGGAACGGGCCTGACTGCACTGCACCACCGTTGCGTTAGCGCCTAGAAGAGGTCAAGGAACAACCCCCGAGCCAGGCCAAGAGGCAGAGGAAACCAACGGAGGAAACCCAAGAGGTGGCTTGGTCTTGGTTTGTGGTTTGAGCTATTGTCTGGTGCAGCGTACACTGCCATCCATCACCATCACCAAAGACAACACCAACCACTCGACGCAACCCAAACCTCCAGAGTTTCCTTTCCGACGTGGTTGGCATTCACACTCAGCGAGGCTTTGCTTCGGGTGACGGCACCTCTTCAGTGTGTTCTTGTGCAATGCAATCCCAACCATATTGCACCATTCGGATTTAGCCTCATTCATCCCTCTTCACACCGCGGGCTCCGTGGAAAGACAATAGAGGAAACAGAGATCCGTACTCGCAATGCAGTGCTGTCTTCATTTTTCTCACTTTCGGAACTGGATCCGAAATCAGTAAAGTTACCTGTAGACTACTCGTCCGTATTGGTCGTATTTGGAAGCTGGAAGCTGGAGGTGGAGGAGAAAGACCGGTCACCGGCCGCACCCAAGTGCTGGTTGCAGCCGAAAAGTGACCAGTCACAAGATAACTGTTTGTCACTTGGAGCTTGGCCTTGTGTCATTAGATCATGTATCCATCCATACAATGCTTAGCAATGAGCAAACAAATATCAAATGTCAAATGTCAAAAATATGCACAGTCACCCCGGACCAATATTGCGCGGTTCGTCTCGCGGTTCCACGGCTCAGATGGCCCCGGGCAAAGACATCGCTGCTTCCAGCCAATTATATAGATTGGATCAGAAACATGCATATGGGCGGGAGCTCACACCGGAGCAATTCCACCTACGCTGTTTGTGATTATCATTGGAACCTCCTGGAAGAGAATGTGCAGCCTGCTTCCCTCTCAGAGTCATCGCCCGTCACCAAACCCCAGGCCCCATAGATAGCTTTCCGCGTAAACATCTGTCATCTCCCCGCTGGCCGTTGCATTGGATGGATGGGCCGACCTGTGCATTCCGTCCAAAGAACCGTTTGCTCAAAGTGAAACAGGGGAAATTCACATTGCGCGGACCCGAGGGACTGGGTTTCCCTGCGTTATAATCCCATCTCCCCGCCGAGAGCATGTTCAGTGTGCCAGCTTCAAGTCCCTTCATTTTCCTCGTTCCTCTTGCTCCAAACGGCAACAAACTACTACTCCATACATACAATCAACCCGTTGATACCTACCCCATAAAACGTCCATAAAACGGAACTGGACGGGCCACGGCACGGGCCCAAGCTGATTTTGACTTCCTCTCTGATGGTCATCTCCCGGTAAACTCGCATGATTCGCATGGACTGGAGACTTGGGGGAGCAGGCAGCCGTGGGGCATCAGTCATCAGGTAGTGTAGAAGAGAACACAAACGGCAAACTCACCGCGGCAATTCTTATTCCCGTGTCATCCCAGCCCGTTCCACCCCGTCTCCCTCTGTTTCGTGATCCATCAGAGAGTCCCGGAGCCATGTGATGTGGAGGGTCCCCCGGCCTCGGCGTAATCTTTGACGCCGTTCATGTGTCTCCCAAGACCCTTCCCAATCCTTCCATCTCTTTTCGGACCCCGAAAGCGAATCCCTCGGATCAGACCCGTTTTCCTCCGCGTGGCATCCGTACTCCGACCATCAGACGGCACGGGAGCAACACAGCAAGCTTCACGTCTAACGTTTTCGCCGATGCTTAAGCTGGACTTTTCTTGCCTGCTAGATTTGGTCACTAGTGGCGCTGGAGTACCAATTGGCTTGCTACCTTTGCTCAACCTATCCCTCCAAGAACCTTGTGTCGTGCGACGCGATCGGAGTGAGTCACTCTCGACGCCAGACCACTTCAAGTAGATTCTGTTGTGCCTGAGCTATCGCACTCTTTGCCTCAGGAGCGCGCGCCGCCAAGCAAGAGCCGGCTTGCTAGCCGATAACCACGAGCTCGAAGCCTTGATGTGTGAAAGAAGCATGATGCCGAAAGGCTGACTACCTCCGCCCGCCATCCCCAAAGCGGACATTCTTCAAATGCCACTGGCTTACATCCCCACCGCTCAAACCGGCATGGCGGCATCATCATTCACTTTGCTTCATTCCGTCATCACATTCCTCAAGCTTCGTCGTTCAGTCCTGTCTTACCACTAGAACGGACCAGCCCGCCCGACGAATAGTCTTCTCACGAATTGCTTACAGACCCGCATGCCCGAATGAGCCTAGCTTTGGACCAGCCACTATGCAGACGGCTTACACTCATGATAGCCTCATCCGTCCAGCGTTACCCAGGAACCTAGCCTTGTTATCGACTATTTTTCGTTGCCCTGACCAGTCACAGCACTTAGAACAGGAAATTCATCATCTTCAGGTCAGGTTTAAATGGGGAAACACACATCGCCGACGGCGTAACATGGTGAATGAAACGGTCGTCAACCAGATGTAGCCTAGGCATGCGTAGGATCCAAGAAAGCGTCAGTGCAGTTCGCTGCGCATATCGAGCGAGGCTTGGGAGTGCATGGAATTCATTGAATAGATATAAAACGAGTGAATACCCTCCTGTCTTTCCATGTTCCCCAAGTCACACAGTCGATCGTGGTCAAGTCTCTGGTCTAAGTTCGGACTAACATCCTCAATATCGCAAATTGCC